AGTGTCGGTGGTACTGTGGCAATGTATGTGGCGACGAGTTCGACTGGCGCTCATCGTTATAATAATATTGACAGTCGCGGTAGTATCTTCTATTTGATACCTGGAATGATAAGACGTAATCTAGCCAATGGTAATAATGATTTCCAGAAAGGATGAACAAAGCAAACTTCGTGTTGTTGGCCTGTATATTAGTGATAATGGCACCCGGATCGAACGGCGTAAAGAGTGTTTTGTTGTCAGCGATACGGAACTGCAACAAGGTGGACTAAACTCGACTGGTGGCGTGGTTGTAATTCTACCTGCCTTGGTGTCAGTCATAATTACCTTCAACAAAGCAGACATGCCTTAACATGTATTATGGTGATTCTGGACACCACCTATCTGTAATAATGAGCTTCAAGAGGAAACTGATTGGCCTCGTGGTTCTGAGCGTGGTGATGAAGATGAAAATTATCTGCAACTGGTAAAGACTGCGTTATATAGCCGTTAAACTCGTTATGAAAACTGTCTTGATGTCGTTCATAATGTTATCAAACGGGGAGCACCATGGTTGTGATGTGTTGACGATTGTATGACAGTTTGGTGGCTGCAAATGGCGTTTACGTTTGAAAAAGGACAGGGCAAAGTCAACTGGCATCGTGGTTCTGAGGTGGTCGGAGTGTCCGTCGTACGTAGAGAAACTGTTGGACCTAAAAGATATTCCAAGGTAAACTTGCCATCAAGTCTAATGATATCTTGAGTGCATGTCATTCTTCGTGTCCAAATTCATTTGACTTTCATGCATGCTACTAATAATGGGCAACTTGCATGTTAGACTGAATTTTAGTTTAAGTAAGGAGAAGGGAATCAAACACCACAGCTAAAAGGAACGTAATGAAATTAGTAAAATTGCAAAATTTGGTTGCGAAATGTTGTAAAGCAGTATAGCCCTGTATAAGTAGTATAGCAGTAGCCCTGCAAAGTTTTCAAATTTTGTATATATGGTTTGTATTACGTGCGGAAATTACCATTTTCAGCTCAAAAACGGTAACAATTTCCGCACGTAATCCAAACATATACAAAATATGCAAACTTCGCAAGGCTATATTTTCTGTATTTTACAACATTTCGTAACCAAATTTTGCAATTTTACTAATTTTAATAAGTTCTTTGAGGGAATTTACTTTTTTTGCCTAGATAAAAAATTAGTCTAACATGCAAGTTGTCTATTACTATTAGCTGCTTGTGTAAAAATCTGGAACACCCCTGTATAATATAAATATAATTGCTAACTAACTGGCGTATACACTAATTAAGGTCTCGTTTTTCTTTGATAGGTTATGAACTCTTCAGCCTCAAGAAAAAATTGCCTTGACAAGGTCTTAAAAGATGCAAGTTTCAGTGTTAGCTTCTTTCATCCAAGCAATAATAGCCACCTGAGGACAATTCACTAGTAATTGACTTTAGTGATACACTAGTTATAATTGACTATATGATTATAATATCCAATATTTAATATTGTACAGTTATTTAATTTTTTCATTTATCGATACGTCCATAAATAGGGTAATAGTATGGTTTCCAGTGCAATTTGTCTTTTCCAAATTACACGAGAAACTATACTGTTACTTTTTAATAATATATTGAAAGATTATTCAGAAGCAAATTTTATGATCACGAAATAGATCATTTACTCATTCTGACACTCGTGGTACAACAGCTGAAGAGACGATTTCAAGTCAAAACTGATGTCAAAATGTCTTTTTGTTTAGCGGCACTTGCCACGTTTTTTGGCACTGAATTTCTTTTCTGCCTGTTATGAATTAATATTTCACTACTCCTAGCCAAACCGAATTGTCAATGAGTAAATTTTCAAATATAGTATAAATGAAATGGTGGAAAATTAGGGCGAACCATTAGAAAAGTGAAGGTAGGCAGGATGTGGCAGAAAAAATGTCAACACGAGAAAAATTACACACTTAGTGAACTGTAATAAATCCACACGTCCCTTAATTTCTTCTCTTTTCTAATGTCCACATCCCGAATTGAATTGAATTTATTAATACCCATCTTTGGGATTTAAAAATACAATGGATTTACATTGAGTCAAAATAAATAAGATCAATTATAATAAATAAGATCCTAATAAATAAGGTCAATAATTAATAAATCCTGTGAGCACTGAGCACACATAGTGCCATGTGAATATTTATATACAGGGTGTACTCGGTATACGAACACCCTATTATACATTGTTAATATATCCCATAGATAGAAAATAAAGTACATAATGAAAAATTTGTAATTATCGGCCTGCATCGCCAAACTTAGCTGTTTGGCCACTCTCCTATATAAATTGACATTATTACTCGCTGGGGCTCTGTGCCCAGGCGAGTATAGGTTTCGGCACGCATTTTTATTATTTATTTAGCTTTGCCAACTAGGGCAGGGTCACCACAACAGCATATGCCAATTACTGTGGGGCCTATTACCTAATTAACCTAACCTGTCCACTTTCACTGTGGGAGGAAACTGGAGAAAACCCACGACTTTCGACAGTGTTGACATTTACTCATTTCACTATACAATTACTTTATGAGTTCCGTGTTTGGATGGCCTGATCCAAACACTTGGGAATGTTGCTCGAGTTATGAAAAGCGCGCGAAATCCACGAGCCGAAGGCTTAAGTTTGCCCCTGGTTTATCTGACCTCGAACCCGCCACCTTTGGGATACTAGTCCAATGCTCTACCCTATGCTCTGCCAACTGAGCTACAAGGTCAAGTCGGTTCGAGTTGGTGATATTGCGGAACTGAGTCTAGTTCCCTTCGATATCAATGTATTCTAAGATATGTTCTAAAACTGTCTGTACCAGTGTAGGTAGTACCAATGTGAAATTGTTGTGCTTAGTGGTTATATTGCTAACTAACTCTTGACGAAAGGCTTCGCTCGAAACGTCTAGTTTCTGCTTGTTTACTTCAGGTAGTAATAAAACCACTCAGCACAACAATATTTCAAGATATGATACGTGGTTGACAATACCCAGAGGTTCTTGTATCTTCCGCCCTATTCTTGCTCCTAGTCGTAATTATTTCTCAATTTGTAATACGGTACCTCTGGAACCAGCTGGGTAGTCTGACCACGGTGGAATTGAAATCGAACCCATTGGACTAGTATCCCAAAGGTCGCTGTTGTAGCCCCAGCTTAGTATTAAATGTATTGGCTTTCCATGTACGTTATGTATTGGCTTTCTATAATATTAGTACTTGTAAAAGATATTGGTGGAGACTGCCCTGGAGGTCAACAAGGGTGAAGGGGGAGGGGGGCGGGCAGAGATCTTATTTGTATTTAATTTGCTCCAGCTTGTAAAACTGAGATCAGCGACTATTTATGAAAACACGATAATTGGTTTCAGCGGTTTTTCCACAGAAGCCACGCCCCTTCGTTTCTGATCGTCTATGGCGGATTAATTTGTCAAAGAACAAATTTTCCAAGTAAAGTAACCCGGAATTATGGACCACTACAATGTCATAGCGAACCAGCCTGTTGTTATAGATAATGTAAGTATATGTAAGTTCTATTTAAGATTAAAACTGTGGTATTTTGTAAGTAAAATGACTGTACATTGTGATCAAAACATCGGTATATTGTGTGCATATTTATACCAAATTTATATCATTTATTGACCTTGTGATATTTTCAAGGGATCTGGTGTTATTAAAGCTGGTTTTGCAGGCGATCAAGTGCCCAAATGTCACTTTGCCAATTAGTAAGTTTAAAAATGTCTACTGATGTCCAACTTGGCAAACGTTTCTAAATATGATTGTTTGTAGAGCTGTATTTTATAAATAATACGGTATTGTGAGCATTTATACATATGTATGTATATAGGATGGCCTAGGCAGTCATTGGTCTGATTTATACTACAAGTGTTTCAACTGTCAATCATATCTGTCTGACATCTCAACATTCCTAGTGCAATCATAGGTGCAATACAGTACAAACTATATGTAGTTGCCTAGTTGGGAACTTGCTAGATAATATTTAAATATTATTAAATTAGTCTTTGACTCGAAAGTTTGGAAATTGCATGCCTGAATTGAAATTTTGAAAATCTAATAGTAAATATATAGAAAACATTAGGCTGTTTGCTGCGTCCCGATATTGTTCACTTTCATTTCCCATGTCTTGGAACTGAAATATTTTTACGGGAACTAACACTTTTGAATACACTGAGTTCAAATCCGAAAAGTTCCCGCTCTGTAGACCTGCAGTTGACCTAAGTTTGTTGCGAACATGCCAATTACAGTATGTTGTAAAGTTTGGAAGTTGGGCGTGAACTTTGCAACAAGGTTTGCAAGTTCATTTCAAAGTTCAAACTTTGATTGTAAACAAATGTTCATAGTTGGAGTTGCACATATTACTGCAGTAAAATATTGGTCCAGTGGTCTCCCAAGACGAAAAATGCCTTTTTATTAAATTTGAAATGAACTTGCGAACTTTGTTGCAAAGTTTCCGCCCAACTTCCGAATTTGGAAACATAATTGGCAAGTTGACAACACACTTGGGAACCACGCTTTGAAAAGTAATATGAAATCAACAATAAATTAACAAAAGACTGGTTTTGCTCAAATCATTTTGAGTTATGTAATACTATGCATGTTGAACATAAACAACATATCTTGTCTACAACTTTGAGAAGGTACAGATAAAGCTTTCTAGAATCCTCAGTTCTGGCTCTATCTCTATGAGATCACAGCTATGTTTCTGTGTTAGCATGATCAAGGTATTTAAAACAAAAGTAACACGGAGCTAATGGAATGGCAAGGACAATACTAAAATGAAATATTGTCGATGTGTTGCTGGTAAAAGACTTTCAAATAATCTTAACGTCTGAGAGAGAGGAAAGGTGTAGTAAAAATTAAAATCATTGTGTCTGACAATTTCTAGTGTTGGACGTCCAAAACATGTTCGAGTTATGGCCGGGGCATTAGAAGGAGACATTTTCATTGGCTCAATAGCCCAGGTATTGTGAATTGACTATGACTATTTTTAGTTGCAAACATCAACATATTGACCGTATAATTATATAATTAGGGTGGCAACCTTTATTTTTAGGAACATAGAGGACTACTGAATATTCGATACCCAATGGAGGTAATTCAAACATTTAATTAATTTAATACAGTGTACAAAAGTAGAGACTCTTCGGAAACATTGGTCTTATGTTTTCTGAGAATGGATGGATTAAAACAAAGATGTACTGAGAGATTACGGTAGTTGTCAAAACATGTAAAGTACAGAAATTGTATTTTCATTTATTAGCATGGGATTGTTACTGACTGGAATGACATGGAAAGAATTTGGCAGGTTAGTACTGAGGGCCAGAATAGTTTGGTAACAGTAGCCGGGAACCTAACCACCACAGTTTACAATTGTGAATAATTAACAACAACAATGTTTAATTGTTTTATTTTACAGTTTATTTATTCAAAAGATCAACTTCAGACTAGATCAGAAGAAGTGAGTCTATAAAATTTAAGTTGCAATTGTATGGTAATTTAATTAAATGTTAATTGCTTCAAAAATGTGACTAATGACGATTCTTAAAATGTTTAAAAATGTTCTAGCATCCGGTACTTCTTACAGAAGCCCCGATAAACCCAAGAAGAAACAGAGAAAAAGCTGCAGAAGTAAGACAGAATTGTTTTCTGAGTAACATAATTAATATACAATTTATACCAGTGCTCAAAATAACTTGAAATGTATTGGTCAATCAACCATAGTTAACCATGAATCAGTTGAGTTAGGCCGGGTCAACTTGACTGGCCGGGTCAACTTGACTGTTCACTTTTTCTTTTAATTCTCAATTTACCTGAGTTCTAACACATAGATTCCATAATGATATGTACAGTTATGGCATCTCCATCTGTCAGTCATGATTTTGGTCCCTGGTCTTCTTTTACTGTAGTCATATTCAAATATTATGTATAAAGATTTAAGAGAGATATTTTCCCACCTTTAAGCCCTGATCCCTGAACACACTAGCATTACTATGATAGGCAAAAAACCCTAAGCTTCTGTGTGTTTTTTTTGTTTCAGATATTTTTTGAGACTTTCAACGTTCCTGCGTTGTTTGTTTCTCTCCAAGCAGTCCTAAGTTTATACTCAACAGGTCGGACAACAGGTGTTGTACTGGATGTTGGTGATGGTGTTTCACATGCAGTACCTATTTATGAAGGATTTGCCATGCCTCACTCTATCATGAGGACAGACCTTGCTGGCAGGTAAAGTATTGATTGTTTAGTAAGCATTCCTGGGGACTGGATATTACAAAATTTATTTGAAATCTGTTTTAGGGATGTCACCCGATATTTACGGTTGCTCCTAAGAAGAGAAGGTTTCAAGTTTCACACATCTTCAGAATTAGAAATTGTTAAACAAATTAAAGAGGTAAGGACTAGAGGTGTGCAAATCCGATCCGAAACTTATCCGATCCGATTCGTTCGGATTTCGGAACCAAAATATTCATGTCGGATCGGATTGATAAAGTTGTTTCGTAGTCTGACCAAATCGGACTTTGATATCTGAATTAAAATGAATTAATTATCCACACATTATCGCAAGAAATAATTATCCATGCATTTATCAAAGATTATCGTGGTTGTCGCTGCATTATTTGTTTGATACTTCAATTGGACGTCACTTTGTCAGTTTCTTGACATGTATTTCTTGCTTTTATATTTATTTGGTTAAATATTTCAACTGGAATGAGAAATTTATTTTTAGGGATGAGCCGATTAATCGGTAAATAATCGGCAAAGCCGATTAATCGGCCGTTTTTTAAATAATCGGTAATCGGCCGATTATTGCTTGATAATCGGCAAATAATCGGCCATAAGACTTTCTCTGCAGCTGCCAAGCACATGCTAAAATACTCAATACAAGCGAATAGATTTTCACATTTTGTTGCAAAACCCGTGTCTTTTGTCTCAAGCAAAGTGAAGCTGGGAACATTTCCACTGAAAAATGACTAGCTCCGCATAGCTGACAGTATCCTGTTTTTACACGATAATCTGCCAAAACTAAACTTTGACTATTGACATGCAAGATTGGAGCTGTTTTTGATTGTACATAGTGTGTATTGTAAAACAATACAGTAAAACTGATCATGCATTATTTTACAACTTCATTGTTGGTCATCTTGTGATTTTTCGCTTGCTTTTTAAAATAATCGGCGGGTACCGATTAATCGGCCGATTAGTTAAGATAATCGGCTTATAAATAATCGGCCTCAGTAATCGGCAATTTTTCTTATCGGCTCATCCCTATTTATATTATTAAAGTATTCATCAGTCCGGTCCCCCCCCCCCCTTTCCATTTTACCAGAAAAATTTACAATCTGTTGGAGTGTACAGTACTTAGAAAGAGTATATATACAGGTTAAATAATTGGGAATACACTTAATAGTTAAAATATTTACATCCTGTCATTGCACCATCACTGACAGCTAAAAGTTTAGGAATTCCTAGTTCTAAATTTCACTTGTAGTTAACAATTCCTGTTTATTTTCTCTGTAGCAAGTCTGCTATTTGGTTCTAAATCCTTTAAAGGAGGTATGTAAACATTCCTTGGAAACAACGTCCATTCTTACTTGGACAAGTTTACAGTATTTCAAAGCAATGGTGTAGTGATTGTAGTCCTGGAACGATAACAAAGAACATCGACATGGAATTTTAGTGCCACTGCCCCTCCACTACAGTCCTGTTTCAAAGCATGCAATGTGTGAATTGGTTAGGATTAGTGAATTTCTACAATTGTGTTCTTGTAGGAGCCAATGGACACAGATAAAGCAAAATTTACGCTTCCTGATGGCAGTACTCTTGATGTAAGTAAAACAAATATGAACGTTTTGTTGCAAGAAATACAGTAAAAGGAAACTAGGTAGGATACTTGCTTTCAGCAATAACCATAAGCTATAAAAGATTTTCTGAAATAACTTTTCTTGTCAATTTTCTATTTTTTACTCAGCCCGGCTCGTCGAGATATAGAGCGCCAGAACTATTATTTAGACCTGATCTGATAGGAGACGAATCTGAGGGAATACACGAGGTAAGCCAGAACAGACGTATAGGAAATCTAAAATACTGTAGACATTCATAAATAGCCACAGATTTAGCAAACAAAATCGTGACACAACATTTGGACACTCTAGCACAGTGTTTTTCCCAGTGTGACCAGTCATGGTTGCCAATGTGAAATAGGTGATTTTCATTTTTCAAGCAATCCCACGACACCTTAACACAAAAGCAGATAGGTGAATTAATGAGATTCTAATAGATTCTTTAGTGTAAATTCCCTCCATATGCACTAAACTGTGGCATTATGAAAAACACCTACAACCTCGTACCCAGGCTCTTTCCTCCAGCGAGGAGCGTAGTAGTATCTTGCAAGGAATTAAAGGTTTCTTGGTTTGCTCATGTCGGATTTCTCTACGATATGGAGAAACTGAGAGATATTGAGAGAGAGAGAGATATTGGACACTGACCAACTGTAATACTCCCCGATAAAGCTTTGTTTTCATCAATGCTATGCCAAATTCAGAAGCATACTGTAGAATAGACATGTAGACAATTCTAAAGCTTAGGTAGCTTTGTTCTATTTTCCCTTACGAAAAAAGTCTATAGGTGGCCAATAGGTGCCTATAGGAAATGTTCCAATTCCCTATAGAAGCCTTTAGGCATCTATAGAGCTCTATAGGCTTATAGGCATCCCTATAGGTCACCTATAGAAAATGTTCCAATTGCCTATAAAAACCTATAGGTTTCCTATAGGAACCTATAGGTTGGCCTATAGACTTTTTTTGTAAGGGTTATGCTTTTGTAAACTAGAAGAGTAGGAACTACCGTGTGAGCGATCCATAGTTGTGAATTGGGTATAATAAACAGACGTAAGCCAAATTTGTCTGTCAGTCTTTATTATTCTCCTTGCTCGCCTTTCTCTCGTGTCCGCTAATGCCGCCTGCTAGACTCTCTATTGCAGTAGTGAAATCTGTCTGATATCATGTCTGATTGCCATGAGTTTATCAACCTTTTTGAACAATTTTCCTTCACTGACAGGTTTTGGCTTTTACCATTCAAAAGTCAGATATGGATCTTAGGAAGACTCTTTATGGTAACATAGTATTATCTGGTGGCTCAACGCTTTTTAAAGGTACGCTTTTGAAGAAACAATGGTTACAGTCCATATCCATTTACAGGTATTTCAACGACCCGGGGTTTGTTTCCTACAATATGTCGATTTTAGTCTAGTACAATATGAGAAGAGTGCTTCCATATTGTCTCTACATCAAACACCACAACTTCTCCAGCTTCTACATATTTTCTTGCTAATTTGTTTGTCGTTTCCCAGGATTTGGTGATCGCCTGTTAAGTGAAGTTAAGAAATTGGCTCCAAAAGATATAAAAATTAGGGTAAGGTATTATGCAATTATTTATGAATGCTAGGCCCCAATAATGTTGTTTTCGGATTCTACCTTTAATATTTGTCACAAATATTTCTTTTAGATTTCTGCCCCGCAGGAAAGACTGTATTCAACTTGGATAGGGTAAATATTCAATATTTTCATAAGAGTTTATGGTTTCCGGAAATGTGACAAAGAACAATAGCCATGTCGCTGAGCATTTGTTGCAGAACATCGTTGGCTCAGTCGAGAATTTTCGCGCGCTTTTTGATTTGCTTTACTTTGTCATGGCCATTTGCATAAATATATGGCGGCTCAAATTTATAAGTTTAAAGTGTTCTTAATCATGTTTTGATACCAAATATTGTTATTTGGCTTTTAACTTTTTCTTAACCTCAAAATTGTAACAGTAAATAACAAAATCCGCCAACTATGTCGTTTGCCAAACTTTACCCATTTCCAAAAACTCGACACTAATTGGCCACTACCTCTAAATTGTACCGTCTTTTGTAGGGGTTCTATTCTAGCTTCATTAGATACTTTCAAGAAAATGTGGGTTTCCAAGAAAGAGTGGGAAGAAGAAAACACGCGCGTGCTTCATAGAAAAACTTTCTAAGAGCTAATATTAAATTCTAAACTGAAGTATACACGATCGCCGCGACCTGAATATATCATGTTCGGATTCGAAGCCAGCAAATTGAAAACTTAATATTTATAGCGACATATGATAGTGTGATACTCTGTTTAACGCGCGCAAGGACCTGGATCAAACCATATATAATACAAATGGTCACGGAATAAAATACGAGGCTGATTTTACTCTGCTCGAAATAATGCCGGGAGATGGGAAGCAATGGACTGTACTGTTTATTTCACTCTTGCCTTAATGCAGTGCTGGATACTAGGGGGTGATGGGGGAGCGTTTTGCAAGCCTTTAAATGGTAGCCGAGTAACTGTAACAAAGCTATAACAATAATTTTAACCATGAATGTATAAGTTAAGCTAACTATTGCATAGAATTTAAGGCAACAAAATGTCTAAGATTGCCAGCAACAAAAGGTGGTCATACATATGCTAGCAACCTAAATCCCCCCCCCAATATTTCGCGAAGCGACGGTCACTATCCAAATGGCATCGTTTTCATGTGGTTAATTTCCTCGCGTTTCGTCCACATTGGGTTTAAGGATGGCTTTGTGATTGGGATCAAGATCAAAGAGAAGCAGGGCACGAAACATAAGGACAACCTTCATGTACGTCTGCCTTGCTAAAACAAGGAAACATGAAAAACGAGGTCATTGGGGCAAAAGTGAGAGAAACAGTAAAGTCTATTTGAGAGAGAAAAGTTGAAACGTTTTCGGTTCAAATTATGAATCTGGAAGTTAGTGTTCTCTGAACTCTCGTTATTTTGAGCGCTGGTTTTTTTATTACACTATATTTAACACGCATGAAGTTTTTTTTCCAATGCAGCCGAGCAGTTCGAGTAGTTCAACAGTAATATTCAGGCATTAAATCTCGCAGTGTGCTAAAAACCAAACCAAATATGACGACTGATATATGTGATTTTCCAATCATGTAATTTCGACAAAAAGACAAAACCGTTAGAAGAAGTGAAAAGAACATCCTATACAGAGCATCTTTGGTTTTTTATTGCAATTTAAAGGTATTATTAGACGTATCAAGCATAGCAATTCTGATGTATATATGTATTGTGATTAGTAAATGTATTTTAACATCAATTGCCCTTTGTCAAGTCTAAGTTTGTAATTTGTGTGAATTTCCAAGTTGAACGCACGCGTACCTATTTTTAGCCTTTACCTTTCCCCCGGCGAAAAGTTACGAAGGGACTTTCCCCGGTAACTCGGGCACGTGTGTGATGTAATAATTCAAGATGGCGGCGGCTTCTTCGCTTTCAAGTATGGGAGAAGAATACGTTTTACCGAGCACAAACAGCTCAAAACCTTATCAGTATTTAGTGGAGATTATCGGCCTCGATCACAACTACTGCAGGCCGTGGTCTGAGCGGGAAAGAATTCCTCATGCGAGGCCCGCCAAGGACTTATTTTCGCCACAAACAGAAAATGAGACCGAACCGTCGAAAAACGCCGACGACAACAAGAAAAATAAGAAAGATGAACTTATTGATGTTGATACGGTAGAAGAGGCGCCTCTACATGGTCCTGGTGCTATCAATATGCAGTATGATGTGATGAAATCTAAAATTGTCATGTCAGAGTGTGAGAAATATGTGAGCAGTGCATCCAGCAAGAGAACACCTGATACTTGGGAAGAACTTATTTGTAGGTGAGGAGATTTTGTACAGATCCAGGGGTATTTTAGGTTTGGGAGTTAGGTGGGAGCTCCCCCCAAATTTCTGGGGGTTTTATTTGGGGGGAATTCCCCTCCTATAGTAACAAACCCAAACATTATTTCCTATGCCTACCCAGACTGGAAAGTTTGGAAATTGTGCGGGGGAGATTTCGAAAATTTAACAATAAATATATGGAAAGCATCAAAACTGTGCGGGGATTTCTCCCCCGCACAATATAAACTTTCTACAGTGGATGCCTACCGATTTCCAAGTTGAGAGGATATGATTGATATCTGGGTTAATTTGCCAACTGCACCTCCAAGTGATTACCCATTTTCATCTCAAGCTTGTATGCCTTTAGTTACAACTTACCAGTTTAATATTAATTAATAATGATATTCAATAGACTCATTCTCCCATTTTGGGGGAAATGCTCCCCCTGGAATTTGGGGGGAATCCCCCCCTGCAAAGTATCTCTGATTCCCTGAGATCAGTTGTAAAATACTATGTACAAAGTTACAGGATTGAAAGTAAAGAATTTTTACATAAAAGTTATAAAACATGGTGGTTCAAGTTTCCCTGTGGTGTAAGGTGCTAAGGAAACCGTCGTCCATATTTGTCAGGGTTGACTACTGTACCTTGTTTGTCGTGGTGATGTCAATAAACTTTGCATTCGGTTTCATAATCTCTTAATAACACGCTACCTGTCACTTCACAACAAATGCCTAATGCTAGCTAGTCAGTTTAGTAAATCAAGGGAAATCTCTATCACATATATATATATAAAGATTTAAAAGACCGGCATCTTCACACTGTAGCCAATTAATAAGAGACTTTCTCTGTTCTGGTTTTAACTGAATTTCAAAGCCTAAATACTTGAAATATAAGAAAGCTAGGGTTTCCTCGAAAGCATTATAGTAAGGGACGGAGCATTATAGTAAGGGACGGACCATTAGAAAAGTGATTGGATTCTAGCCATCAAGTGAGAAAAAAAATTACCACTATAGGTGTACAAAAAAAGTATATTGCTTCTTAGAGAATGCCCCCAATCACTTTTCTAATGACCTAACAGGCTGCATATTTTCGATACACGAGCAAAATTATTGTTGACATTTGAGTTATGTAATTACTTCCGTTAATGAGATTACGAAGTTTCTTCGGTCAAGAACAAATTTGTCATAGGCATTTGGGCCGGCATTCATTTAATGACACCCTCTCTCCTCTGCCCACGCTAAATGCCTGCTACACAAGCTAACTTTAAAGAGGTACGTCTTAACCCCTAAAATTTTTTCACCTTTTTGGTATTGGGTGGGAATGATAACTAAGTCTATAATAAAAAATTCATAGAACTGGCTGGACAACACAGCAGAATGTTTTATTTGACAAGATACTGAAGATTGTGTCTGCTTATCGTCTGGCATGGCTGACATATCAAGGGGTAATTATGAGCATATGACATGTTATGTATTTATGGTTGAACCATTTGATATATCCATTATTGCCACTTAAAGGGTTAAAGAAAATACTCTACTTTCAATGACCCTGAAGTAGAGTCGAAATATCACCATAATTTGTGTCTTTATGCCTTGTTTCCTGCATCAGGACGTGTAAAGAATTGAAAGAATAATTTCTGACAATGTTTGAATTATATTTTAGTCTGCTAATGAACCTATCCTCAGAAGAGTAGCTGTTGATAAAGCCACAAAAAGAGTGAGGCAAATTTTGAGCAGAATTGAGTGGGTAAATAATAATTTTTTTATGCGAGTATAAAATTTAGATGTAACAATTTTTACAACATTGTGCACAGGGGGGCGAAACTTGAGGGAGGGGGGGGATATGAGGGGGTAGTACCCCCCAAAATACGAATCATCCTGATTGGCATGGCAATCAAAATGCGAAGAATTCCAATAAAATTAAATAAATAATTATGAGTACAATTTTAAGCGATAGAATGTAGAGTTATTAAGTAACTTATTACAGCTAGCAAACAGTAAGCAGTTCGTATGCATGTATATTAGCACGTGATGTATTCTGCCAGACACCCCCTAATTAAAAGGGGCTAGTTTTGCTCCTGATTGTGTGAGATGTAAAGACTGCCTAAGAAATGTGAACACCTCATAAAATTCACACAATAATATTCTTCAACACTTAAAATTCTGCACCATCTGCCTAAAAGCTCCATCTCCCACTCCAATTTTCTCAATGATCGACTTTTAGGACTCCAGGGCAGATGGAGTATTTTAATTGTGTTCCTGTATTTGTCCTTATCTAGGATACAAAACTAACAACATGGCTACATAGTTCAATGGTAGATGGTCTCAGCATTCCATTATTAGCATGTTATTTGGATATTGTCCAAACATTACGATCAAAGGTTTGAAATTACACTATATACTTAAATTAAATGTACTTATAAGACAGCCAAAATTGGTTGATAATCTATTGCAGTAACAGGCTTTCTAAAATTGCTTGATCACCTGACATTAGTACAGTGGCTAGTACACATGACATTTGTGACCTGGAAATTTGGTGTGTGTGGTTCCCTTCCTCCTGAACCCATGTAAACGGTGACAGACTGGAATTTAAATAGAACTGACAGAGCTATTCAATTTTGATAAGTTTAGTACTGCAGAGAACAACGAAAAATTTGTTGTCTTGAGCAGGATTCAAACTCGCATTTTGGGGTGAAGTTTAGTTTAGCTTCTGGTTTTTCAACCCAGTGTGAGCAAGAAGTTGCTAAAGGTTTGCTTGACTGATTAATCAAAAATTAATACAATTGTAAGTTGTTACAATTTTTTATTTTACAGGTTCCTACATTAGTTGACAAGATGATTACAGGTGGATCCACTAATCGTCGTGTTTCAGCTGGCACAACTGACAATCTGACAGCATTGTTGAAACGACCATGGGATGCAACAGTAGCACTAACATCCTTTCAGAGACCTGTAAGTTTACCTACAATCATGAAAAATGTTTCTACTGAGTTGAATCCTAGATAAACTTCAAAGCAATCTTCCCAACAGAAGAGATGATAAACATGGACATATTTTCCACAAAATCTTGTCTGGATCAATAAAAGTTTAATAAATTTTCTAAAGTTTTATTAACAAACATGCAGAGGTACACAAACTAAAACTGCTGGTTACATTTTAACCCATGGTTAGTGGTGATCCAGCTTAAGCAACATGTTGCACCAGGTGTTCAGTCGAACGACAAACAAAGCTGTTGGAATTATTACCAGTGCTTTGAGGTTAGACGTTTCACAACATAATTCTCTATTGTCTCTTTTTCAACAGAGAAAAATCACAGGCACTCCATTGCTACTGATTGTACCAGGTGGACCAACAACCAGTGCTACTGGTAATTCAACAAAGCGTTCTCGTTTCTGGCACCATCATCTTTCTCACTTTGGTAAAGTAATTCCAGTTACCATGCATCTTAGTAACAGTGCTAGGGGTGTTTCTGTTGGTCAGTGTCTTGATCACATGATTGGTGCTGTGCAAGCTAAAGTACTCGAGGTGAGTAAAGTCATTTTGTATTTATCATTAAATTGCTAAATAAGCAATGAAGTCTCATACCATTTGTCCCACATTTTCCTCAGCTAGTATATCACATGGAATATACCAGAAAAGTACAAAACAGCCCATGCTCACTGATTTACTGTTAATGCTTTTAAAATTAATATCGCTTTATGTGAAAGTTGCACAAAAAACTGCCTCGTGTAACATACAGTAGCCTTTGCGAGAATGGTTGGAGATGGAAAAAACAGAAAGGGTAACTCAGCCCAGCCTTAGCAACTAATTATTTCCTAAACTGCCCATAGAAATAATTATTTAGGATGCATTAGTAATAACCAGTGTGATTTATAACAGAGCTCAGGATTATATATTTTGTTGTTTTAGCTGAAAAACCACTTTCCTAACCGTCCTGTTGTTCTTATTGGTTGGGCAACTGGAGCTTTGGTATCCTTACAGGTGAGTTTTTAATTAAACATACTCATGTTTACGTATATTTTTTATGTATTTATACTGTACATGACATGTATGTAAATGTCCAGTCCTACTACTAGCATATATCTTTAACAACCATCAAATGTGTGGGAAAATAAAGTCATTTGAATTAGTGAGGTGCAAAAAACTGAAAAAAAACTACTAGAGAGCTGTAGACTCAAGTCATGTGACTTGGACTCAAGTCGCAATTTTAGTGATTTATCAGTTTGACTGTTACTATGTGATCGTGAGCTAATGTTGACATTGTAGTGATCTCACTCGATTGAATAATATTTGATGGGTATTGTATATGGAAATTGTCGATTCCTGCCAGGGACCTAAACTCCTAAAGTTGCATTTTTTGCAGCTACGGTAGTTAGATCTAATAAATGTATATAAATTTCCACTCGACAACTTCTAAGGACATGTCTGCTATCTTTCAGGTATCATTAAAAGAATCCGTATGTGCAGTTGTCTGTCTTGGTTTTCCCCTCCTGGGAGTGGAAGGAATACGTGGGGTAAGTATAAGCTGACCACTGAGCCATAACCCCCTCCCCCCGTCAAGCGAGAATGAGAGTTGGCAGTCATGCATTGTTACAGGGGACATTTCAAGCTCTAGATAAACAAAATAAAGCTTTGATGAGTGCCCAACTATATGTTTTAACTTAAATAAAATACATGATAGTTTTGGGAAAGCATTAAGAACAGCTGACCGTTTGTTTGAAGAGCATTAAGAACAACCAAGCTCGCGTGACTGTGATTGTTGTTACACTTCTTCTGTATTTTTCAGGGTGCAGGCGATCCGCTCCTTGATAGCAAAACACCAACCATGTTCGTATTTGGTTCGCTTTCTACTTCGTGTTCGTTGCCGGATATTGAGGTTTGTATAAGTTTTATAGAAATATTCTCTGCCGTGCGAGGGGCAGTTCCTATAACTGCGCATACAGTACAGTATATACAGTAACTGTACCTAACCATAGTCCATGAATTCTTAGTAGTTTTTTTATGTGTTTGTTTTAGGAGTTCCGCACGAGATTGTTGGCTGATACCAGTTTACTTGTAATTGGCGGAGCTGACGACAAGGTAAAGCTTGACAGATTAATTACAATTCAACTGAAGGCTCAACTAAACTAGATAGCTCTATCAGTTCTAAACTGATCTACCTAGAGTTTACGTAAGAGTCATATCTCATTGATCCGATGTTACTATGAGAGGGGAGTGGGAATTTAGATTGCCAACGTATTACCATTCTTTTGTTGCTGCAAATCTCAACTTTGTTTGCCTTAATTTTCATGTAAATTTGCTTCATTTATAGCCTACCAATACCCCCTTCCCCCACTGAGCGCCACTGTGCCTTTTGCGTCAAACTGAAGGAATTTTGCTTTTTCTGTAGCTTCGTCTAACCAGCGCAAAAAAGAAAAAGGAAGGTGTTACCCAGTCGGTGGTGGACAGAAGAATTATGGTAAGTCATACGATTCAGGGTTATACAGTACTTACCTTTATTACTAAGGAGAGAAGAGGGGTTAATTACTTTCGCGTTCTGACCCCTTAATAATCTGTACTAATTGTTTATATGATTATTTTTCAAACTGAAAGAATATTAAAGCCACGGTATTCTCTAATTCTACCCCATATAGGATGATATTGGTGAATTCCTAAACAAAGCTGTTTCTAGCATGAACGACGATTCACATCCCAGGTTGGACTACTTTGATTTTGATGACGTCGAAAATCGACGCAAGAAACCGAAAACTGAGTATCGGAAACGGCCGGCCGGAGATCGCACGGGGTCGGCAACAGCCCCTAAGAAACCTCGGGGACGAACCCCCAAGGCAACTAATGGTGAGGGGAATGTGGCGAAGAAACCAAAAACTGTCAAAACTGCCAAAAAGCCCCCGGTAAATAAACCGGCCGTACTTGTCCCAGGGACTGGTCAAACAGGTCAAGCACCAGGTGCGCCAGCAGTTCGTCCCACCGGAAGTATTCCAATTGCGCCATTACGAGGCACACACCCCACAATCCCTAGCGGTATCCTTCAAGGCGTTCCGCTAACCAGTGTCAGTGTGCCCATATCTGCTGTTGGAGTTCCACTCACCGGCATGCCTGTATCTCGGGTTAGTATACCTGGAGTCCGTTTATCTGGTGTTAATATTCCGGTATCTGCTGTCAATGTTCCGGTATCTGCAGTGATCAAGCAAGGATCGTTGGGCGGAAGGTCTTTCGTATTTCCTGGGGCAGTCAGTGGGTCTGCTAACCCTGGGGTAACCACCTCCGGTATAACGACCATGGGAACTTCAGGTAACACCCATCATCTGAAGATTGTTGTGAACCCCTCCGCGGATGGTGGTATACAGCTCACTGGTCCATCGAAGTCTGGACTATCATCTGAATCTCACGCAACATTGCAGTACAAGACTGCTATCGTAACTGCCCCTCTTCCCAATAAAACCTCCGCCTCTCTCAAAGCGACCACTGCGAACACCACCTCACAAACTTCAACCATCTCCACTACTACCAACTCAAGTTTATTGAGCTCACTACCTATCACGTCATCACCTCGGACGTCATCTACCACGTCATCAACCACAGTCAATGTTTCCCAAGCCTCGACTACCAGCTCTAAACCAATCGTTGTGTCTCGGACTGTGGTCACTGTTCCCAAGTCTGCCGTGATCGGCGGGCAAACTCAATTTGTAGTGCATCAAGGGCAATTGTCGGCGGTTGGTAAACAGGCCAGCATGCGGCCGTCTTCCCATGGCAACCCACCTACCCAACACAAAGTAGCACCCCAAGGTACACGTGTGAATACGTTCTCTAGTGCAAAACCTCAAACCACTTTGTCCAGCACAGCGTCTAAACAAACAACCTTGTCCAGCACAGCGTCTAAACAAACCACCGTTCGTGTTAGTCATGCGGGATCCCTACAGTCTTCTACGAATCTCGCGAGAAAGTCCCCATCAACTCAATCTATGGCACGTACCATTCAAGTCGGAGTGAAACGCACGGTCTCGTATAACCCTTCGACGGCATCGAAAAATGTGACTGTAGTGTCCAGGTCCCTTCCCGCCGAGGCGCTCACGTCTCATGCGTCTAACGTCAGCCACATAAATCTCGAACGTTTAAAAGCAAAACTCAAAACGATTCAAAATTTGACTGGACTGCAAACTGGCAGCCAAATTGGAGCGGTGCAGATGAAGGCATCTCAAACTTTGACTAACCCAGCCAGCACGTCAGTGCAACATATTAAGTCTAGAAATACTGCGCAATCTTCAACGCGAACTATCGACGGAACTGGTGCGCAGACCACTTCCAAATTAATAACACAGGCTGGTTCCCAGTCATCTACACAATCGAGTGCGTCGACCTCGGGACAGGGCAACTCAAGATCCGGTGCGCAAGCTATACCGATGACAACTACACAAACCACGACGAAATTAAATACTCAAACTGTAGCATCGGCTGCCGCAAGCACTACGCCAAAATCAAGTTCGCAAACTGTTCAATCTTCCACGCAAGCCTCATTATCAAGTGTGCGTCCTGCTGTGGCAGTTATTGAGAAATCAACTGCACAAGCATCTCCAAAAGCTTCTACGCAACTAGTTCAAACCACTGCGCCAACGGCTGGGAAACCAGTCGAGCAATCCATTAAGCACATCGCCCCGCTAGTGACCGGAAAGCCGAGTGTCATGTCGATTGGAAAATCGAATCCCCAATCGACTACCAAACCAACCACGCACTTTATTCAAGTCCCAGCATCTGCCAAATCAAGTGCGCTAAATGCTGCCAAAGCAAGCGCGCAAACTTCAAGCTCACAAACTTCAAGCGCACAAACTTCAAGCGCACATAATGCCCAAAGTACAGTACAAGTCGGTACGCAGTCAACTCCGTCGTCAAGTACAACACCACGTGCGACAAGCACGGTTTCACACGCGACAAGTTTGACTTCGCATGCAACAAGTACGACAACCACTATATCTCAGAAAGAGGAACCAATAGGCGAGCTAGCAGATAAAAGCGCTGATGTTCACGCTGACCAATCAGAATCCAGTTTTACGTCGGGCTCAAAATCTAACGAGGAAAAGTTAGCTGAGAAAATCAACGATATCGTGAACGAGGTGGTCGGTGGAAAACTAAGAACAACGAGACAGTCAGTACGTCGTCTGGTTGCCGCAGCCAAGTTGGCCGAAGAACAACACAAACGTGGAGAAATTGGTGACGGTAGTAAAGACCAAAACAAGTAGTGGTAGGAACTTTTTATTGATATATACAGTAAAAGCCCGTAAGAAGAGTCGCTGCATTTTGACGTTAAACTTCTCCCATTACACTTATACTGTAATTGCTATCTAAAAGTTTCCAATTTTGATCAAATGTCTTTGTCTGATTTTGCCTTGGCAATAGGGCCACTTTAAATGGGAGAATTGGGGGTAACGGAGGAACGGGGAATATCATATACTCCTTAATATAAAGATCTTTAATTAAAGGGGGAATATATCGGCCCCCTTTAATTAAAGATCTTGCAAAGATCACTCCGCTGCGAATTTATCGCGGTGACAAAAGTAATGGAGATATTATTAGCAGTATATTTAACAAATATAAAACATTTTTCCGTGTTAATTGATATACAGTTATATCAGCACGAGTGGAAATTGGGAAAACGAGAAATTGTGTGGAAAGGCGGAGTGTTTTCACACAATTTCGAGCTTTCCCAATTTCAGCGAGTGTTGATATAACTGTTATCAATACGGAAAAAATGTTTTATATTTGTTTTATAATATAGCACAAAGAAATATAGAGAAAGAAGTTTTCCGACGTTTCCGTGTTGACATTGAGTTATATCAACACGGCTCTTAGCCAATCAGCGTTCAGAATTTACAAATGCTATATTATAAATCAACGTATTTACCAATTTCGATGTTTTCAGTAACGAATTAAAAATTAAATTTAAAATTTCAACAATTAAAAAGAAGCTTCATATTATTTTTTTATTGTTCTTTAATACTATAAACAAAAATATAAATTTCATTCTATATTCACTTAAAAAGTGGTATGGTACCAAAAATTGAGCGTAGTGTAAACGGGGCTTTAGATAATTAGTTGCATGTACTTCCATCTAATATCCCAATTTTCATGAATAACTAATCACAAATTCTGGATACGATTGATCATTTTCAAACACCACAAACATTACGGGGTTAGCCGTGTTATCCACACACGAATGATACAATTCATAAGGCTTGTTCGGATCTCTGGCTGGTGGTCGCACTGTGTTTGAATTACCAACAACATACAAACCAACGATAACTTTATTCAAAAACATCATTTTGTGGCCTGTAGTTGGTGACACGCTCGAATATCCGTCGGAATATGAAGCATTTACGGCAAAATACGATCCCTTGCCGCAGGCTGTTCCATGAGGACCATTAACCCGCCAATCAAAACCTTGCTGGCATATCGCTTTCACGGCGTTCTCGTTTGTTCCGTGAAATAGCTCTCGCACTTCAACTGGCCTGCCTAATTTTCGTGAAAGCTTGGATAATTTCCTGTTGAAATAGAAAATATATAAACTGTAGGGAACTAGCCTGTGATGAATTGTGCCCACCTGGGACTCAAATTGCACATAGCCTCCCCCGCGCCAAATGCATGCCCGAGACACCCCACCCCCCTCATAACGATTTGCGACCCACGGCATTGCAGCAATGCGGATGATGCCCATAAGATACACCTGATTTATGAATTTATTTATATTGATAAACTAAACTATAAACTAACTGTACTGGATGGCAAACATTGTAAATAATCCTGGGTTTGTACGTGCCCTGAAAAGCACTGCATTTGCTTTAGTCCTAGAAACCTCCTTGAAAACTCCTGTCATTTCAAAGTGACCCCTGAAAAGCCTGGAAAGTATTTAAAAGCGTTTTATTTACGTGTATATACCTTGAATAAGATTCCCACAAATCGATATTTTGAACGCGTTCTATTTTGCGAATTGTCTTGCCACTCAGCGTTTTCTTAAACTCCGTTTGCGCATGGTTGTATTGTGCTGAACCTGGCTGTAAGGTAACCATGACAACATCCTGTCCAGCTGACATTGCGGTCCATCCCTGGGGAAGTGTGGCGTTACTGGATGTAGGTAAAACCGGGCGTGAAGGTGACGCTGGTGACGGTTGGCAATCCCTTCTCCTATTGAAAAAACAATTGAAATCAGTATTAAACTATATTTTTATACTGTTCTCCCCAGAGTGCCATGTATTTCCCATTTGTCCTGCATGATTACAGGAGAATGTGAGGAAAATAACCATTTTTTATATCTCTAACAACGATTTGATTCATATGCGAGGATTTTTTCCATACATAATTTACGGAAGAATCCTAAGGAATCATACTTTTATTGGTACGGAACTACTGATATGGGGCGTAATTATGATAATTCGAAAATTGCAAATTTAAGATCCGAGGATCTTCAAAGTATCAATAATTGCCACTTTCTTACCTTAAAATGGTAGCGGCGTCGCTCGTCCCGATAAATTTCGTAGGCCTCCTGCGGATTTTTCTTGATTTACCTGTGGCCGTATTTGTCTGTTGGAAATTCTTAAGGTCGATGTTATACGATTGTCCGTTGCAAGATAACGTGAAAGATTCTGCACCTAAAAATTGCACAAAATCCAACTAGTGTTAAAGGAAAATTCAAAGTACAAGTTTAAGATACAATACATACAAAAGTAGATATCTAGACACATACCAGACAGGTAGTGTTCCTCAAGGATTTCATTGCTGGATGAATTCTGAGCTGTGTTGGAAACTGGTAGGTTAGCTCTATCATAAGGGACCCACTGTTCCTGATCGTTTCTCCAATACCAGGTCCATTTGGTACCAAACCTGTCACCAGGGGATGCCTTGACCCACGAGGCTGTTGACAGTCGACGAATGTTTACACTGTGGTCATCTAAATTGTAAGAATCATTAGTGACAGTAGATCATGCTTAATGTTATTGTTGGTTATGTTGGTGGTGATGGTGCTTGTGTTGGTGATGATGCTGTTGGTTCCCTCATTTTATTAATACAATAATAGACTTTTTTGTGTTGTTAAAAAATATTAAGCCTTGGTCATTAACAACACACTTAATAATTTGTTATTTTGTTTTTCTTGTTGTGTTTACCTGTCCGTGTCTTTGCAACCATCTCATCAAAACAAACACGAAGTAAGGCGCCTGGACCACCACCAAAATTTATGTCGAAAGACGTATCCTTGCTAACATCGCAGTAATCCCATTCAATCATCTGACTGTACAAAAGTGGAAAATGTATCCACTTTTCCGAATCGTCCTCCAATGTTACCGTAATTTGCCATACATAAGGCAGATTACTCCAGTACTTCTTGCAAAGTCGACCGTAGCGACAATTTCCTTTGAGGTGAAAACTGCAGATTTCATCAATACTTGGTGGGCCTGCTCGGGTCAGTGCCGCCGTGCGCGCTACGTTAAGAAGATTTTGAAAATTTATTATCCGCGTTGCCTTTACTCGTTGCTCCAATATTTTAAAACCTTTAGTCAAACGAGATTTTTCTTCAAGCACGTCGTGGCTTTTCGTGCAGTCATCCGCCCTGTTGGCACATTCTCCCTTCGAAAACGCTGTGCATAAATGAAAATTCAAGCAAGAAACACCAGTGGGGCAACCTGGCACGCTGTTATAGTGCGAGCACACTTCGACATTGCTTAAAATTCCTTCCGAAACGCCAAAGATTATATTACGTAACAGAGGTAGTAAAGAACCTTCGTGTAGGGTGTCTAATTTAGACTTCCTGAGGATCCCTTGCTCGTGTTCGTTTGAGAAGTTATGGTTAAGGTCACAAGTCTGATTCCCATCGCCGTCCGATGCACAGTTTCCTTTTACAAACTGCGGACAAACATGTAACCGTCGGCATTCGTAGTACAGTGACGAGCATTCTGCATTCGCGTAGTCCTTGCATAGTTCAATATCAGCTTTCACTTTTAGGGTGCCTTGGTTTTGTTCCACCTCGAGTTTTAGGACATCGCTCAAAGATGACTGCAGTAGAGGGTAAACGCCATGTTCATTCACAAACTCAATCCCGTCCTGACTCAGTGAACTGATTGCATCCTTCACGTCTATAATTCCACCATTTTTACAGACGATGGCTAACAGCTCTTTCGCTATCTCCTCCGTTTCACTTGCGCTTTGTGATTGTTCATTTGCTACCTGTTCCGTTACACTGGTAGGCTGCCTTTCTTCTGACTCGGTCGTGTTAGCCTGTACGTCTTCTAGAATGTCCAAGCTAGCCATGTCTTCTACATTCATTGTTTTGAGTTTGGTAAGGTCCCTTAGAGTTTTATCAGGATAAACAGCATTAGCGTGTGAGCAAATTATCAAGCTCTACTATTCCTTCCTGTTTATATTAAATATGCCCTAAATTCTTAGAACTGTAGGGAAATTCCCAAAAACGAAAACAGGAAATGCCACAAACAAAAAGTAAAAGTATCGCTACTCGCTTCACTGCCACTTTTAATATACTCCAAACATAGCCATAACAGACTCCACATAGTCATAGAAGCATCTTGAGCAGTCAAAATTAAATTGAGTATTATGAAATTAAAAAGCCGGTACACCACATTGCCCCCGGGGTTTTCGGAGTCCGGATTCGTAATCACCAAGGTTTTTCACCAGATCTTCTGGTTTTCCTCGGGTGATTACGTATTTTTTCGTTTGGCAAAATATCTAAAAATTTCAAAACAAAAAACAGTGTCCGTGTTCGGGACGAATTTAGTACTGTATAGAAAAAAGTGGATTATATAGCTGTTGTTGCAGGCTGTTGTATATCTTCACGTTCGTTGCTGAGTGAATGCGTATTTATATTCTGTAGTAATTTAATTCCACATCGTAAGACCCCATTTTACATCTCTTAATAAAAATGTAGTTTGCAAAGATCATCTACATATTAACATATATGCATATGTTATTTTTCTCAAAAAAAAATGCTGTGGAAAAGTAATTTACAATGGGACATTACAGAAAACATACATGGGGGTATAAATTGGAAGTTAACCACCCTTCCGTCTTCGAATGTTCTAATACACCAGTGCTTCCATTTTCAAAATCAAAATTTCTCATTTTTGTCATCAAAATTTCTCTAAATTCCTTAGATTGTATACGTTATTTCCTTGAAAATTCCTTGAAATTTCATTAAGCGGTTTGCAGTGCTTTTGTAGCAATACAAAAGATTTAATCAATTTTAAAGGCACAAAATAGCACAATTAACAAAGATGATGACTAGCTAAAAAACCGCAGGCTATTATACTGTTTAAAATTAAATATTTGTTATGAGTTTACAACATATACCTTTCATTGATATAAATAATTAATTATTCACAGGGTTTGGCGCCAAAAGTTACCAAATCCTATAGCTCAAAAACTTTCAGACGTTTTCGGAAACACGAGGAAAATGTTAAAAACAGATTTTTAATTAAACATAATTGATGATTCACTCAAAATTCAAGAAATAGTGAAACTTTCTTCTGCACTAATGCACTTGGATGAATAATTAAGTTGTTTGGAAAAATTCCTTAGATTTCCTTAGATTTTTTCTCTTCCTTAGATTTTCCTTTTCGACACTAGAATTTCCTTAGAAAAGGAAACTTCCTTGAAAATGGAAGCACTGTAATACACTAACAGTTATCATAAACAAATTTTTCTCCCCTCCCCCCACCAGACAGTGCAAATTTCCTCCTGGGGGGAGGGAGGGTTGATATTTTTTTGAAACGATCCAATTTTGCTGAAATACAAAGTTGTGGATAAGAAAAATTAACATTTTTCTAAATTCTAACTAGTATAATATAGCAGACAATTAAATTTCCTGATCTATATAGTTACTTGTGAAAATCGTGAAGACACAGTACTTGTTCGTTTCTGGGTTGAATTCCCAGAACACTGTAATAGTTGTACAGTTCTGTGACATACTCTCGCAAAAGTTTTATTCAGGAGGAACCGCTTATTATTTACGAGAGAGGGTGGGATTGAGGGATGGGGCCAGAGTTTTAAAATAATTTCTGGGGTGGGTCAACCTAATTATGGATGAGAGGGGGGATGAAATGGGTTAGGGTCTATTCTTGGGTTTCATATGACCTCATAAAATTTGACGGGGGGTGGGGGTAGGGTCAACTCTAAATCGAGCCACAGTCATCAGAGTTAATTAATTGTTCACTGTATGTGTTGGCCTTGTGTTTGGTGGTATAAATACATGCAATTCCGTATCATTTGCTCACTCCAGTACAGCATAAGCATCAATACATTTTAGGTTGACCCCCTGTCAGATTCACTGCAAAATGCCATAGTGAAACCCAAGAATAGATCACATTTTCCATCACCAAAATTTTACCGTCTCATGACCCAGCCATGTGCTAGCCCAATTCAAACTGAATTTGTGTCCAAAGCTATGGGTGAAGATAACCCCTTCCCCCGCTCGCCAACAATTAGAGAATGAAATGTTTGTCTGTCAGGATCGACTTCGCCCATTTGCCATGGGGCAAAAAAGCTTGCTGGGTATGTTTGAAAATGTAACCAATTATGTGGCCATGTTGCTCGAGCCAGAACAAGCTTGGTTAATTAACAACCAGAATTCGACAACCCACTGAGCTTTTAATACTGGAACAACCACGGACATCCAGTGCTGTAAACAGGTCAGCACAGGTTTGGTATTTTTGAAATATTTTACACTATGACACCTGTGACGCATGCGCATGACACCTGTGACGTCAGAATACTAGTGACCTTCACGGCTTCACCAGAGTTTTTGGCGGGAAAATTTGTAATGTTTTGGAGAAGACGATGATGGCGTCGGACCGTCGGTTACTTCGTGTCATGAAAGGGCATTTTTGTTCACAAATACCCTCTTATTTTACGCTATAGCGACTGCTTAGTTTTGGCAATTATAACTCAATGGACGGGGGGAAAGGATTCTGTACTAAAGAGAAAAATACGTGCAGTCATTGACTTAATACTGTGATGTTTATATTTTGAAAGACGGCCGGAAATTTCGCTACATGATACATCGCTGTACTGGATTATAAAAAATTCTACTGGAAATTCGACAATGGATATAACAGAGACCACGCTTGAATGAAAGAATGGTAAGTTTTTTTAAAGCGTTTTCACTTTTCCGTAATATTTTTTAGTTCACTGTAAAGCTCTTCAGCCTCTTCTCTCGAAGCCAATACTTCGGTAGACTGGTAGAGTCAGCACGCAATTGTGGCTAGCCTTGTTTTATACATCTCGTTGCTTCCCATTTCACATCTCTACGTATAAAATCACATGCCTATAAGTAGTTTTTCTTTGTTTATAGAATTTAATATACGACTTTGGAACAAATTAATTTAATTAGAGATGCTGTATTTAAAAGTCCGTATTAAATGTATAATTATGTAAACAAAATGGAACGCTTTGTTTACATTTTGAACTGCTATATAGCGTATATTTGTAAAATATGATATACAACTGAATATCTATAAACACATTTCTGGTTTGCTATGCATGTAAATGAATTATATATTCAAAAAAGTTCGAAAGACGAAAGATTCAAAATTTGGGTACTGTTTATATCTGTGGGACTTCCCATTATATTTTTGTATCTGCGAAGCAGATATATATGCTATCGCAAACGTACCGTACTGTTACCGTACCGTACCGTACCGTACCGTATGTTAACAGATAGCCATTCAGCGACGAGCTTATATAATTTAAGACAATTTAAGCCAATCAGTGATTCGTTTACATCGATTGTTTACATCGTGCCCGCATCTAACCTGCGAACGGGCATACTTTAGCCTCGTCAGGCCTCGTGTATAAATCGTGTTATATTCTTTCAAAAATATCTTGATATTTTTATCAATTTATCTTGAATTGGCTGTCTTTTTTTTATTCCGAAGTTATTTATCAACATGGAATCTTATCCTCATCTGGTAAGTAGTCAAATACCACATATTATATATTTAAATACCAAATTTGTGCAAATATATGTCCCACATATTTTACAATATATGAGTTCGCCAGTTCGGCAAATATTTACTATACTATCTATAGTTAAATATTGCCGTATCTTCGGCGTAGAGTTTACATGGAATGCACTCTGGAATTTTTTATTAATATATTACACTGTATAAAATATTGGATATTTTCGAGGATATTTTAAGCCATTTATCAACATAGTTCACAAAAAGATTTATACAGTATTAAAAACAATCCTTCTGTGACTTCTGTAATATTTTAAACAGTGAAAACATTCTCAGGAGATATTGAATTAAATCCTGGTCCTGTATTTCTGTATATTGACTACTCCATAACTCTGTTCAAAACAACAGTCCAACTATAAAGCTGTCATCAAATGTAGTGTTAGAGCAAAGGTTGAAGATGTTATCAGTTAAAATACTTATGCATTTTGGTTTTACACATTAGAGTTAATTAAACAAAATTTTTACAAACATTTTCAAATAAAAGAATCCTCACCCTCCCGAGCCTCATTACATTGTCATTTTGCTTTCTAACATAAATATTTTTCTTTAGAGATTAATACAAGAATGAAGAATGAATGTGCTGGATATTGGCTGGATAATTTTGTCAGAACAACCAACTTGCAAGACAATCTTACCTAAATTCATTGTTATGGAAAAAAACTTAACAGCTACAATGAGTAATCATATATATTATATGGTGGATTTGATCAATGGCACACAATGTACAAAACTAAACTTGTGATACCTTCTACTCAAACCGATAATCTCCCACAACACGATTGTTTTTGTGTGAATGTGTTGTACGTGTTAAGCCGAACAGTGTGGTATATCATTAACTGTGCACAGAACTGGAATTTAATTATACACTTCACTCATGACCTTCAAAACATTCTCAATTATTCAGTGGTCTTCGACATGTTCACCAAATATTTTGTGTATGTTACTCAACAGTTAACATTGGCAAGTGTAAACAACAAGTGACATAACTTTTGCTTCATATGATTACAATAAAGTTTTGAAAATTTGATGAGTATGGATTGAATTGACAGGTGACAGTTTACTAAATAGCTGGCTGTATAGACACTTTGAATATTGTTTGCATGAAATTTTTATTTCCTGACTGCATAATTATCTGTTACAATCATAATCACATTATAAAGTTAGTTAAATTTTCTCGGTGGGGGGGTGGGGGGGGGTGGTTGTGGTTGTACTTGCCCTGCTGCACTCCCCGCTGTGTACAGCCCTGTTTTAAATCTTATCTGCCATTATAATAAGTGATGAAATATTTCAATTGTCCCATGTCATCTTCATTATTCAGTTTCTTTCAAGAAAATACAAAATGTGAATCAAGTTTTTTCGCAGATACATGTACGCGGTCGCGTACCTATTTTTATTTCTTTCTGTGCAAATTTTTGTCTTGTTAAGTCCTGATTCCACGGGCGCTTTTTCTTGGCGAAATGCGAAATATTTCGCCTGTTTCTTTTGAATTGTGATCAATCAAGTAGAAATAATTTATTCGAGTAGTCGCAATTCAAAAGAAACAGGCGAAATATTTCGCATTTCGCCGAGAAAAAGCGCTCGTGGAATCAGGCCTTTATGTTTCAAATATGTAATATTAAATGATAATTTAAAGTCACCAAACATGACAAAATACTTTTCTTTATGTAAAGTCTGATCTGTGCATCAGTTCTGCTTATGAGCAGAACTGATGCACTTTATTTATTTACTTTGCCATTATCATGCATTCATGCCAGGATCACCACAACAGTATGGTACCAATTACTGTGGGCCCTTTGAATAGATAATAAAACACAACAAAAACTTCAATTTACCTGTTCTATTTGCATTTAAGCACAAACCGCAAACATTTTCGCGCGTTTTTTATGTTTGAAAATGGGGTGTTTATCGTTGGAAACTGAAATGTGTATTCACCTCTCATGTGACGTGTCACAGTGAAAAGCCTTCAGCTATTTTTGGTGCAGCTGTCATGTTTTGATGTGCCTCCGTGCATGTTTCAATATTTCCAAGCCCATGATACTATGTTGTATAGTCACAAAAAGTATGAATGTAAACAAGTTTGGTCGCTCTTACAATATTGTGAGCTTGGAATGAAAAATAACTGAATTAGGCTTTGCACTGTAACATTTCACGGTGAATACAACTGAAATCAGTTTTCAATGGTAAATGCCCTGTTTCAAACGTAAAAAAATGTTTGTGGTTTGTGCTTGAATGCAAATAGCTGTAAGCAAACAAATTCCTTGATGTTTCCATTGTATTGTATTTCACAAACATACTTCATTAGCGGCTTGCAAATTTTATAAAACATATAACAATTCATCAAAATATCAAAGCTCAGTGCATGGGTTCTATAACAATGTCTTGAAATCACTGATCTCTTTATGTACAGTATAAACAAGGCTAGGAAGACCTGACAACATAAAAATACAAACTATCATTACAGTCAAATCCGGCATTCTATTGCCACGCAATATTGCAATATTGATTAGCTGATTGCTCTAGCAAATTGCAAGTTTTACATACAGTTGCAATTATTGGGTGTGTTGCCAATTTGTCGAGAGGTGTGCCCAAGTGTCAGATGCCTTGTTTTGTACCGGTAAGCCATGCAATCAGGCTTTACATGTATTTACAATTTGCTAGAGCAATCAGCCAATCAATATTGCAATACTGTGCTGCAAATATGTTGCCCGCAACGGCACACCAAATTTGACTGTAATTGATAAGAGGAATCGTTTCCAACAATTTTCAGAAATTTTGAATGAGTAGTTTGAGGCGGTTTTTGATTTTTTTAAATATTTCCTGAGGTCTCCTTTGCTAAGCCTAGGGTACCTGTGGTCCCTTTGCATTTTACTGAAAATTTACCCATTCAGCTTAGTGCTTGGGCATTCAAATTCTAACAATACATGACACCCTGTATATCTCATTTTGTTGAACTGAATATATTAATGAATTGGCCTATTGTAGCATGTGTATTAAGCTTTTGAGCAATAGCAATCACGTTTCAATACAGAAACCATGCAATTCAAAAGATGGGTGCAAACACAATATTGTTTCCTGATGTGCAGACTGACTTTTCCCCCCTTTAAAGTCAGGCTGCATGCAGGCTAGTAATTCTTTTGATGAGAGGAAATGTTTTCTTCAATTTTCAGAAATTTTGGTCTAGTTTGAGGCAGTTTTTTAGTGTTTTTGAAATATTTCCTGTGGTCCCGCCTTTGCTAAGCCGTAAAGGTAGCAATTGTGGCCCCCCTTTGCATTTGAAAAATTTCCTGACATGTGTTGCACCTTTCTTAAGTCTATGGTACCTGTGGTCCCCTTTCCATTTGACCAAAATTTTTGTAAAACTTGTTTTCATTGATCAAAAGTAATTCTTTTGATGAAAGGAAATGTTTTCGACAATTTTCAGAAAGTTTGGACTAGTTTGAATTAGTTTTGGTATTTTTGAAAAATTTCCTGTGGTTCCCCCTTTGCCATGCCTAAGGGAAGGTCAAGTTTTAAGTGGTAATGGACGACCCTACTTTTTCATTTTACTTTGTCTAATGGCAGACAGTTTTACTTGTCAAATGGAGAGTGCTGACTGCTGACACTCAATGGGTTAATCTGCCCATGCATCGATCTTGTTTTAATTCTTTATTAAAGTTGGAAAGCGCCATTCTTTATTATTTTACTCTGTCTAATGACAGATGATTTTACTTGTCAAGTGAAGGGTGTTGACACACATCGGTTAAGATATAGATTCATCTGTACACTCAAATTAGTTTGCATGGAAAATGTCTATTCCCATATTGATTAAATTTTCAAATTTTATCCTAGCTAAATCACTTCAAACAAAACATGTTGTACAAAATTTAAAAATCTCTATGAAATACGAAGAGGGGGCCACAGGCATCCACACAGATTTAAAATTTTTCAAACCATTGATTCAATCTAAGGTGTCATATGAACTGAATATAATGTTTTCTTTTCCAGGCAAGACAGATCAACATGGATAATGTTTTGATGCTTTATGAAAGTGACATGTTTTCTAAGAACAGATTTGTGCATGGCAAGAAAAGAAAGCTTATCATTCAGACATTATGAGAAGCCCTAAGAATGTGAACATATAAGATAATGAATGGAGGACATCAATCTGAGGCATGGAGAACTAAAACCTAACAAACCTTACCAGATTAGGTATTATACAAACTATAACTTTATTTCTGTATATGATAATTAATGCATTTATTTACCATATTTCAAATAAAAAGTGGAAAATCAGCCATTTGATTCTCTTGATCCTTTTAAGCAGCAATGCGCCCTGATTTATGCCCCATACTCTATTATTTTACTCGGTGTAACGTCAGATTATTTTACGTCAGACGAATTTACTCATCAATGAGAGAGTGCTGCCACTCAAATGCGTAATGACCCAAAGCTCAAGCAAATATATAGTAAGGATTATGTCATTATGGTGAGCGGGCGAGTATAAGTATTATGGTACATATACTATTAGCCCATTATTGCCCTTTCGTTAATTTTCCCAAACTAAAGGTGTTAGCTCCTATCTTTTATGAAAAAACTATTAAGGGATACCCTTGGCGATATTGAAAGAATGGCTGCAAATGCTTATACGACATTTTGCTGACAAAAGTAATGGTGAAAAATAACTGAAAAGGATAGCCCTGGTCGAGAAAAAGTTAAGTGGTCAGCTTTTACTTTTTGAACATTTTTTTAAAAAATGGCAAAAAAGTAAGGCTATAGCCTTAATTTTTCGTCCATTTTTTTCCACTTTTTTCATTTTTGAAAAAGCGGGGAAAAAATGCAAAGAAAGTAAGGTATTGTTATTTCATCCATTTTAGACCGTTTATTTCTTTCTTAAAAATAGGCCAAAAATCGCCAAAAAGTTAATTAAGGTTACGTTAAGCCTTAAAGTGCACCTGACCTCAACTATTTTTATCATCTCATTCTTAAGAACTTTAGAAATAATATAATAGCTTATTTTGAAGATTTTCGTTTGCTCACTTTGTCTCTGAGCGGTTATTTCAGTTTTATTGATTGCAAATGTCCGGAATTTACGTCACATAAGAATAATGACTGATCAAGGAATGTAAGGTACAGTTAAATATCATGAAAATTCAACTCGAGAGTGAATACGATATACAAACTTTTACTTTAAATCATTATGCATTTGTGACGTAAATTCCGGATATTTGCATACCAAACAAACTGAAATATCTCAGAAACAAAGTGAGCAAACGAAAATCTTCAAAATAAGTTATTATATCATTTCAGAAGTTCTTAAAAATGAGATGATAAAATAATTGAGGTTAGGGGCACTTTAAGGTAACCCACTTACGTTTTCGCTCAATTTAGCCAGGCCAATAATCCCTCAAAAAGTAAAGGGTAATAGCTTAAGTTTTGGAATATTTTAGAAAGTTTTTTTTTATGATTTTTGAAAAATCGGCAAATAGATACTGTAAGGGGGGATAAATCCTTAATAGTTCGTTTCTTATCAAAAGGTGACGAAAAATGGAATGAGAACAGTTCGTTCACCATTTTCACTTTTTGAAAAAATTAAGTGTCAAAAACTTTACTTTTTCATAAGTAAAGGCGCAGGCCTTCAATTTTTGGCGACTTAATTTTTTAAAATAAAATTTGCTGATGAGGGTTTATGTAGAAATTAGTATAGTTTCCACGAATGGATAGATCTACTAGTCGAGTGGTAGTCTCCTGGTGTTGGATGAGGGAGTACTACGGATCGGTCCCTGTTGTAGTCAAAATCATTTTAATGTCAGACATCGTTTTTTAATAATTTCACCCGAGACGAGAATGAGTTAAGTAGAATAAAAAAGAACTTAGAGTAAGTGTAGGCAAGACGGTCTAGTGGTAAGGACAATTAAGTGTTGCAAGTGCGTGAAGCCAGGTTCGATCCCTGGTTGTATCAAAAGCATCTTAATGTCAGACATCGTTTTTTAATAATTTCACCCGAAACGAGAATGGGTTAAGTAGAATAAAAAAGGACTTAAGTAAATGTAGGCAAGACGGTCAAGTGGTACCGGTAAGGACAATTAAGTGTTGCAAATGCGTGAAGCCAGGTTCGATCCCTGGTTGTATCAAAAGCATTTTAATGTCAGACATCGTTTTTTAATAATTTCACCCGAGACGAGAATGAGTTAAGTAGAATAAAAAAGAACTTAAAGTAAGTGTAGGCAAGACGGTTTAGTGGTAAGGACAATTAAGTGTTGCAAGTGCGTGAAGCCAGGTTCGATCCCTGGTTGTATCAAAAGCATCTTAATGTCAGACATCGTTTTTTAATAATTTCACCCGAAACGAGAATGGGTTAAGTAGAATAAAAAAGGACTTAAGTAAATGTAGGCAAGACGGTCAAGTGGTACCGGTAAGGACAATTAAGTGTTGCAAATGCGTGAAGCCAGGTTCGATCCCTGGTTGTATCAAAAGCATTTTAATGTCAGACATCGTTTTTTAATAATTTCACCCGAGACGAGAATGAGTTAAGTAGAATAAAAAAGAACTTAAAGTAAGTGTAGGCAAGACGGTCTAGTGGTAAGGGTAATTAAGTGTTGCAAGTGCGTGAAGCCAGGTTCGATTCCTGGTTGCATCAAAAGCATTTTAATGTCAGACATCGTTTTTTAATAATTTCACCCGAGACGAGAATGAGTTAAGTAGAATAAAAAAGAACTTAAAGTAAGTGTAGGCAAGACGGTCTAGTGGTAAGGACAATTAAGTGTTGCAAGTGCGTGAAGCCAGGTTCGATTCCTGGTTGTACAAAAGCATCTTAATGTCAGACAAAGTTTTTTAATAATTTCACCCGAGACCAGAATGAGTTAAGTAGAATAAAAAAGGACTTAAGTAAATGTAGGCAAGACGGTCTAGTGGTAAGGACAATTAAGTGTTGCAAGTGCGTGAAGCCAGGTTCGATTCCTGGTTATCGACAGAAAGCCTATTGATCATACATTCCAAATATACGATTTTCAGACTAGCCCAAATTCAAGTCTGTGCTACAGGAGCCTTGAAATACAAAAGAACATCAGATTCGAAACCGCATAATATTAACTTTCACGTCTTTTTCGATTACACAGCTGGAAAAACGTGCTTTTTACTTCCGCGGACAAGTCTAGTGATGCACGAGTAAGGCATCGACAGAAAGCCTATTGATCATACATTCCAAATATACAATTTTCATACCAGCCCAAATGCAAGTCTGCGCTACAGGACAGGAGCCTTGAAATACAAAAGAACATCAGATTCGAAACCGCATAATATTAACTTTCACGTCTTTTTCGATTACACAGCTGGAAAAACGTGCTGTTGTGTCCACTGACTCTCTAGTTATGCAAGAATGAGGCATCGACAGAAAGACTATGGACGATAGATTCTAAAAATACAATTTTCAGACCGTGCCAAATTCTAGTTATTGGTAAAAGGGGCCTTGAAATACAAAAGAACATCAGATTCGAAACCGCATAATATTAACTTTCACGTCTTTTTCGATTACCCAGCTGGGAAAAACCTGCTTTTGTGTCCACTGACTCTCTAGTTATGCAAGAATGAGGCATCGACAGAAAGCCTATGGACGATAGATTCTAAAAATACAATTTTCAGACCGTGCCAAATTCTAGTTACTGGTAAAAGGAGCCTTGAAATACAAAAGGACATCAGGTTCGAAACCGCATAATATTAACTTTCACGTCTTTTTCGATTACACAGCTGGAAAAACGTGCTGTTGTGTCCACTGACTCTCTAGTTATGCAAGAATGAGGCATCGACAGAAAGACTATGGACGATAGATTCTAAAAATACAATTTTCAGACCGTGCCAAATTCTAGTTATTGGTAAAAGTGGCCTTGAAATACAAAAGAACATCTGATTCGAAATCGCATAATATTAACTTTCACGTCTTTTTCGATTACACAGCTGGGAAAAACCTGCTTTTGTGTCCACTGATTCTCTACTTATGCAAGAATGAGGCATCGACAAAAAGCCTATGGACGATAGATTCTAAAAATACAATTTTCAGACCGTGCCAAATTCTAGTTATTGGTAAAAGGGGCCTTGAAATACAAAAGAACATCAGATTCGAAACCGCATAATATTAACTTTCACGTCTTTTTCGATTACCCAGCTGGGAAAAACCTGCTTTTGTGTCCACTGACTCTCTACTTATGCAAGAATGAGGCATCGACAGAAAGCCTATGGACGATAGATTCTAAAAATACAATTTTCAGACCGTGCCAAATTCTAGTTATTGGTAAAAGGTGCCTTGAAATACAAAAGAACATCTGATTCGAAACCGCATAATATTAACTTTCACGTCTTTTTCGATTACACAGCTGGAAAAACCTGCTTTTTACCTCCGCGTACAAGTCTAGTGATGCACGAGTAAGGCATCGACAGAAAGCCTATTGATCATACATTCCAAATATATAATTTTCATACCAGCCCAAATTCAAGTCTGTGCTACAGGAGCCTTGAAATACAAAAGAACATCAGATTCGAAACCGCATAATATTAACTTTCACGTCTTTTTCGATTACACAGCTGGAAAAACGTGCTGTTGTGTCCACTGACTCTCTAGTTATGCAAGAATGAGGCATCGACAGAAAGACTATGGACGATAGATTCTAAAAATACAATTTTCAGACCGTGCCAAATTCTAGTTATTGGTAAAAGGGGCCTTGAAATACAAAAGAACATCTGATTCGAAATCGCATAATATTAACTTTCACGTCTTTTTCGATTACACAGCTGGGAAAAACCTGCTTTTGTGTCCACTGATTCTCTACTTATGCAAGAATGAGGCATCGACAAAAAGCCTATGGACGATAGATTCTAAAAATACAATTTTCAGACCGTGCCAAATTCTAGTTATTGGTAAAAGGGGCCTTGAAATACAAAAGAACATCAGATTCGAAACCGCATAATATTAACTTTCACGTCTTTTTCGATTACACAGCTGGAAAAACGTGCTGTTGTTTCCACTAACTCTCTAGATATGCAAGAATGAGGCATCGACAGAAAGCCTATTGACGATAGATTCTAAAAATACAATTTTCAGACCGTGCCAAATTCTAATTATTGGTAAAAGGGGCCTTGAAGTACAAAAGAACATCTGATTCGAAACCGCATAATATTAACTTTCACGTCTTTTTCGATTACACAGCTGGAAAAACCTGCTTTTTACCTCCGCGGACAAGTCTAGTGATGCACGAGTAAGGCATTGACAGAAAGCCTATTGATCATTCATTCCAAATATATGATTTTCAGACCAGCCCAAATTCAAGTCTGTGTTACAGGAGCCTTGAAATACAAAAGGACATCAGATTCGAAACCGCATAATATTAACTTTCACGTCTTTTTCGATTACACTGCTGGAAAAACGTGCTGTTGTTTCCACTGACTCTCTAGTTATGCAAGAATGAGGCATCGACAGAAAGCCTATGGACGATAGTTTCTAAAAATACAATTTTCAGACCGTACCAAATTCTAGCTATTGGTAAAAGGGGCCTTGAAATACAAAAGAACATCAGATTCGAAACCGCATAATATTAACTTTCACGTCTTTTTCGATTACACAGCTGGGAAAAACCTGCTTTTGTGTCCACTGACTCTCTACTTATGCAAGAATGAGGAATCGACAGAAAGCCTATGGACGATAGATTCTAAAAATACAATTTTCAGACCGTGCCAAATTCTAATTATTGGTAAAAGGGGCCTTGAAGTACAAAAGAACATCTGATTCGAAACCGCATAATATTAACTTTCACGTCTTTTTCGATTACACAGCTGGAAAAACCTGCTTTTTACCTCCGCGGACAAGTCTAGTGATGCACGAGTAAGGCATTGACAGAAAGCCTATTGATCATTCATTCCAAATATATGATTTTCAGACCAGCCCAAATTCAAGTCTGTGCTACAGGAGCCTTGAAATACAAAAGAACATCAGATTCGAAACCGCATAATATTAACTTTCACGTCTTTTTCGATTACACAGCTGGAAAAACGTGCTGTTGTGTCCACTGACTCTCTAGTTATGCAAGAATGAGGCATCGACAGAAAGACTATGGACGATAGATTCTAAAAATACAATTTTCAGACCGTGCCAAATTCTAGTTATTGGTAAAAGGGGCCTTGAAATACAAAAGAACATCAGATTCGAAACCGCATAATATTAACTTTCACGTCTTTTTCGATTACACAGCTGGGGAAAACCTGCTTTTGTGTCCACTGATTCTCTACTTATGCAAGAATGAGGCATCGACAAAAAGCCTATGGACGATAGATTCTACAAATACAATTTTCAGACCGTGCCAAATTCTAGTTATTGGTAAAAGGGGCCTTGAAATACAAAAGAACATCTGATTCGAAACCGCATAATATTAACTTTCACGTCTTTTTCGATTACACAGCTGGAAAAACCTGCTTTTTACCTCCGCGTACAAGTCTAGTGATGCACGAGTAAGGCATCGACAGAAAGCCTATTGATCATACATTCCAAATATACAATTTTTATACCAGCCCAAATTCAAGTCTGTGCTACAGGAGCCTTGAAATACAAAAGAACATCAGATTCGAAACCGCATAATATTAACTTTAACGTCTTTTTCGATTACACAGCTGGGAAAAACCTGCTTTTGTGTCCACTGACTCTCTACTTATGCAAGAATGAGGCATCGACAGAAAGCCTATGGACGATAGATTCTAGAAATACAATTTTCAGACCGTGCCAAATTGTAGTTGTTGGCAAAAGGGGCCTTGAATACAAAAGAACATCTGATTCGAAACCGCATAATATTAACTTTCACGTCTTTTTCGATTACACAGCTGGAAAAACCTTCTTTTTACCTCGGCGGACAAGTCTAGTGATGCACGAGTAAGGCATCGACAGAAAGCCTATTGATCACGCATTCCAAATATACAATTTTCATACCAGCCCATATTCAAGTCTGTGCTACAGGAGCCTTGAAATACAAAAGAACATCAGATTCGAAACCGCATGCATAATATTAACTTTCACGTCTTTTTCGATTACACAGCTGGAAAAACGTGCTGTTGTGTCCACTGACTCTCTAGTTATGCAAGAATGAGGCATCGACAGAAAGAATATGGACGATAGATTCTAAAAATACAATTTTCAGACCGTGCCAAATTCTAGTTATTGGTAAAAGGGGCCTTGAAATACAAAAGAACATCTGATTCGCAACCGCATAATATTAACTTTCACGTCTTTTTCGATTACACAGCTGGAAAAACCTGCTTTTTACCTCCGCGGGCAAGTCTAGTGATGCACGAGTAAGGCATCGACAGAAAGCCTATTGATCATACATTCCAAATATACGATTTTTAGACCAGCCCAAATTAAAATCTCTGCTACAGGAGCCTTGAAATACAAAAGAACATCAGATTCGAAACCGCATAATATTAACTTTCACGTCTTTTTCGATTACACAGCTGGAAAAACGTGCTGTTGTGTCCACTGACTCCCTAGTTATGCAAGAATGAGGCATCGCCAGAAAGCCTATGGACGATTGATTCTAAAAATACAATTTTCAGACCAGCCCATATTCAAGTCTCTGCTACAGGAGCCTTGAAAGACTTGAAATACAAAAGAACATCATATTCGAAACCGCTATATGCGGTTAACAACGATGTCTGACACTAAAATGCTTTCGACACAACCGGGAATCGAACCTGGCTTCTCACACTTGCAACACTTGGTCCTTACCACTAGACCATCTCGCCTACACTTGCTTTATTTGCTTTTTTATTCAACTTAACTCTTGCCCGTCTCAGGTGGAATTAATTAACAACGATGTCTGACATTAAAATGCTTTCGACAAACGGGAATCGAACCTGGGTTCTCACACTTGCAACACTTCGTCCTTACCACTAGACCATCTCGCCTACACTTGCTTTATCTGCTTTTTTATTCGACTTAACTCTTGCCCGTCTCAGGTGGAATTAATTAACAACGACGTCTGACATTAAAATGCTTTCGACAACCGGGAATCGAACCTGACTTCTCACACTTGCAACACTTCGTCCTTTCCACTAGACCATCTCGCCTACATTTGCTTTATATGCTTTTTTATTCAACTTAACTCTTGCCCGTCTCAGGTGGAATTAATTAACAACGATGTCTGACATTAAAATGCTTTCGACAACCAGGAATCGAACCTGGGTTCTCACAGTTGCAACACTTCGTCCTTACCACTAGACCATCTCGCCTACACTTGCTTTAACACTTTTTTATTCAACTTAACTCTTTCTCGTCTCGGGTGGAATTAATTAAGAACGATGCCGGACATTAAAATGGTTTTTAACTACAGCAGGAATCGATCGTGGCTTAACACACATACAACACTTTGTCGTTGCCTTTTTCAGAAATGAAATAAGTGGCTAACAATGGAGGACAAGGTTAAGGCTATAACCTTACTTTGTTGTCATTTTTTGCTACTTTTTCAAAAATGAAATAAGGGGGTAAAAATGGACGCAAAGTTAAGGCTATAGCCTTACTTTTTGATCATTTTTTGCCACTTTTTCAAAAATGAAATAAAGGGGTAAAAATGGACGAAAAGTTAAGGCTATAGCCTTATTTTTTGATCATTTTTTGCCACTTTTTCAAAAATGAAATAAGTGGCTAAAAATGAACGCAAAGTTAAGGCTATAGCCTTATTTTTTGATCATTTTTTGCCACTTTTTCAAAAATGAAATAAGTGGCTAAAAATGGACGAAAAGTTAAGGCTATAGCCTTATTTTTTTATCATTTTTTTCCACTTTTTCAAAAATGAAATAAGTGGCTAAAAATGGACGAAAAGTTAAGGCTATAGCCTTACTTTTTGATAATTTTTTGCCACTTTTTCAAAAATGAAATAAGTGGCTAAAAATGAACGCAAAGTTAAGGCTATAGCCTTACTTTTTGCTCATTTTTTTGCCACTTTTTCAAAAATGAAATAAGTGGCTAAAAATGGACGAAAAGTTAAGGCTAAGGACGAAAAGAGTTAAGGACGAAAAGTTATAGCCTTATTTTTTGATCATTTTTTGCCACCTTTTCAAAAATGAAATAAGTGGCTGAAAATGGACGAAAAGTTAAGGCTTTAGCCTTAATTTTTTGCCAATAGGAAAATTTTGGCTAGTGGTGGCCAAAATGTTCGTAGCTGTTCATACAATATATGGATAACAGGTCCATATTGTAAAAGAAAAATGAATTTTGTGTTGGAAAATTGAAGAAAAATGAATTTTGTGTTGGAAAATAGATAAAATTGATGAATGTAATTCTAAATTTCAATGCGTATACTAAACCGTCCACCTTGCCGTTGAAAATTAAACAATCTATCAGCCATTTCAGACGCATCAGCTTCGTCGACCCAAAACACTTTTCCTTTTTCTTAGTTTGCTACACGATACAATTGCCACAGAGCGCTCATAAACTGTTTCATGCAGGGCGCTTATATTGGGATTTCACATCCTACCTCTCGTACAACAGTATGTAAAAGTATTTTATACTCTACAAATCTAAAGTGGTTTACTTGAAACATTTACATTCAATCTTATTGATGTCGTTAATTAATCTTGCATAAAACTTCAGTCTTCAGGGTAGTTAATAACGGTCATTTGTGCCCATTTCAAGAACAGAACGAATATTTGCTTGGATCAAAAGCATTCATCAATTTAAAGTATTTGCTACCTTTTCTGCTCCAGTACTGGTTTCTCATACTTTGTCACGTGTCAGTGAATGCCAGGACGGTTTATGTGACGTCACTCAGTGATTCCAACAAGGCTCCTACGGCACCACAATAGCCCTGAATGTAACAGAAATTGAAAAAGAGAGAATATTGTCTTAAACGTAGTGAGAAGCATTGAACTAGAAGTAAACTGGAACGATAACTCCTATGATAAAGGTCTATGTTTGGGTGAAGCCAAATTTCGGGCGTTCAAGTATATACCTGAGCACTCCCAATCCGCCCCCAACCTCTAACCCCCAACCCCTAACCCCTAAAGAGCCTGAAATAATGGTCAAAAATTGCCTGGGGGAAATGTCCAACCAAAATGAAATCTGATGTGAAATTTTCAAATTTAATCGGGCTTTTCTTTCCGATTAATATTTTATGCGAAACGCTATACAGTATGGCTAATTAAACTAACGTGATTTTAGTAATGTCCGACCAAATTAGCATTTGGTCAGAAAAGCTGTAATTTTATCGGAAAATGTCCGATCGCTATTTCAGGCTCTAAAGGAATATGAAACAGAAGAATCGATGAATCCAGGATTAATTCGTATCCTAATTGCAAAAATAGAGACAAACCAAATTAAAAATCGTGCATGTCTTTCAGAAATATTACCATGCAATTTCATCAAATTTAATTTTCAAACAACTAAATACCTCATGTTCAAGAAATATGGCTTTCATTGTTCCTTTAGACCAGAAGTCCATGGCACGAGCTAACATGCTCATTGATAGATTGTTTTTACGTAAGAAATTTCCTGCAAAGATCACTCGATCTATTCCCTCATTAATGGCGCACATCCTAGCAATAGATCCAATGTTGTTGGTGATCATCATGAGTGTTGCGCAAGCCAGATCTTCTTTCCTCACGTTGTCGCGCTTTTCTTGCAGTATCATGGAACCAAAACTGTCAAAGTCAAAGAATACACGGAATTTTTCGTGAAAAGAATACTTATACTGGCTTGAATTTTGCGAACACCAATAGTTTTTTCCAGGTAATCTGGTTTCTTTCTTTGGAATTTGGCGAAGTGCCTGAAACATTGACCTACCTACTAGCAACAACATCACCAGGCAAACCAAATCTAGTGTAATCGCCACCATAAATATCTTTAACCAGCTTATCCACAGTTTTATTATCTCCCTTCGCAGCAAGCTCTAACGCTTCCTCAAACGTGTCACATCCCGTTAGAAGACAACTTAATCCAACGAATGTGCCACCACCTAAACTGCAATAAAAAATGTATTCGAAATCAGATTGGAAACTTGATTGTATATTCGACTATTACGAATTAAACATCTCACAGTTAATTACTAACTCTAGATCTACTATTCTAGGACGTCAACAAAGCATACTGCACGGTCTACGCCAGATGTTGGTGGCACCAGTAATTAGCATAGCCATGCACCGGGAAATGTTGCGAAGATGGGTCAAAATTTAACAATTAACAAAAAGCTCCTTACGATATCATTATTTCAAAAAGTGGTGCTACGAGAGGCTCCCCAAAGATCCGATTAGAGAAGGGATCTAATTTCGCATTTCATTAACCCCCCCCCAAAAAAAAATAAAATCGAGTGCCCTTGTCAGGTTCGATTCGGCTGCAATATACAGTTGTCTGCATATGACCACGTAATCAGTTTATCCCACTTGATTGAGATCCCACCTAACGTAAGGAGATCTCATACGAACACAAATTGAATTTTATATGCGTTAAGCCGTTAACAGAGGGCGTGCAGGTCTCACTCTGGCGAGTTTCCCAGTTACCAGTGCTCACATGAACGGTGACAGGTTAACTATAGTACTTACGCTGATCCTGTGATTCTCTCAAATTCGCTCGAAGAACGTACGGCCAAAATACTGACGCCGGAACCTACGTTGACGACAATGAAGGGATAGGGGCAGGCAGATTGGAAATCGTACGTAACCTTTTCTGGTTCCGCTGAATCGTTTGAGAACTTTAGGTAATAACACTCTCCAATAAAGTTCGCGTCTATGAAATGAATTCCTTGAATGAGACAGTGTAGTTCGTCACACTTGACCAGTTGAAGATCCAGAACCTTCGAGATAACAAAAGAACGAAACAACGCCAAGGTAAGTAACACAGTATTCAGCAAGCCATGGCCAAGCAACAAAATTTTTTAGCAACTTCCCAAAAACTAACATTATGACATCAAATGTTCGCACATACATTACAAAACATTAAGCAATATGAATTCCCTTTCCCGCGCCTCGCCTCCCTAATTTTCGTTGCCCGCGCCTCAACCCCAACCCTTAAAACCGCAGGCTACGCAGGCTAGTGAAAAATTGGCTTACAACATGGGGTTGGGGGGGGGGGGTTGGATGGTGGGCAAGACACAAAGATAGCATTACCTCTTTAAAATTATTGTCAAACTTATACGCTCCTCCGCCAGTTGCATAGACCTTCTTCTGTAATAATTCTTTCGCCCTCATTTCTTCAGCAAGCTCAAAGAACGCATCCATTCTGGACGTGGGAAAGCGAATAAAATGTAAATTTCCTTTTCTTGAACCCAATTGAACGTCCTTTAATTCAAGCCTGGCATCCCGCTCGCCATCTGAGCCGTACTGGTGCGTTGATTTGATGAAGTCCTGGACAGCGGTGTGATTATTCCCAAGATACTTTATGTTATCTCCGTTTTCATAGTATTCAAAGTAAGCGACTTTGGACAAAGTTCCACCAATATCAATTCCGACCCAAGGCAAAGTTTTCCCTATGATGCAATGTTGGAGAATTTTATTGGTGATTGTCAAGGTGATTGTCATGATTATTAGATCATGTATAATATTGCATGTCCGGAATATACACTTGACGCATACCGCGCACTGGGAGTCTGGGACTGATGACAATAGTGCGTGATTATAGACACTTAAAACAGTACTGAATTACTGATTGTAGGTTATAGGTCTTACGAATAAAACTTTGATTACAAACATAACAGTGATTACAACCCAGCCATATCCCATAATATGTGTTGTGTTTTAGCATTGTAATTTTGTACCGTATTGTAATATGGCAAAGTATTTTAAATACAAAACAATTTCCAGATGTTTCTATGAGCAATCAATCGGTTCATCATCAAAGAAAGAGCAAGGAATGACACACAAGAATGACAATCGTGCACGGTTCTCACATTATATGCACCACAGGGTCTTATTCAAGTTATGTATTTACATTACATATGTAATATATAGTTCAGTGTTGAAGCCTGCGACTATATATATTGTATTTAATAACTTCAATAAGACCTGGGATTGGCTCCCTTGTGTAATGGGCTAGTAAAACACGCCCATGTACGCACACGTGCCTATTTTTCCACAAATTACGAAATTTTTGTTTTGTGTTAATGGGCGATGTTACTTGACCCTCTTTTATCCAGAATTGATCAAGCGAAACCAATATCATACGAGTAATTAAATATTTATAGACATACCAAATTACAATAGGCACACACTGTGGCACCCGTAGCATGTAAACATTGTAGGCAGAGAGTTAAAATTACAAAAACAATCACCAAAGATATTTCAAATATTGTCATCATAAATTGCACATCTTGTACTCGCACATTTAATGTTCATCTTGTACAATACTGTACCACCGTACAACTTAGATTGCGCCACTGCCGCCACATATTGAATATAAATAAACACATCGTATACAGTGATCAATATCGTATACACTGATCTCATAGTGGACAATAATTCCTACCTTGCAACTTTAAGTCCGTCTTTGGGATCAATTCATTTTCTTGAATGCTCCAGCTTGCTCTCGTGGAGTCGACGCCGTCTGCCATTTGCATTAGAGATGTAATTTAAGTGGACTTTGGGTTTACAATGCTCAAATAGTATAATACGTGTCACGTTGTACCAGGATGCCATGCCATGAATATCTTTCCGCAAAAATTGGCAACTTTATGAGCTTTATATCCAGTCTTCCATTTACCAAAAGTATACTGTAATGTAATTAATAATGTGCATTCAGTTTTGGCCTTTAGTACCTGGGATTAAAAGGGGATCCGCTTTGCTTCACTGCTTACAAAATATTGTGCAACAACTTGGCCGCGTCTCAGATCATTGCGTAAATTTACACTATTTGCCACCAGTCAATGTGACAGGAAATTCACACTGGGAGAACTCAAATGTATGAAAAAACAATAGATTTTTTTCAGTTACTTTCTGGCTAGCGGAAATAGAAAAGGAAGAACAATGAACCTGTAGTATACTAAGTGTCCACAGTTGCTTTTAGAATTTTTCGCTGGGCCGTTTCCGCAGAGAAGATTGAATTTGCCCAAACAGCTTGGGGACTAGGGCGGTTGACCCCCAAGGGCTCCGAAAGCTTCACGATCTTAGTCTTTGCATGTCCTTAGAACCGCTCACAATTGTTTTGATTTTGAGTCAGTTTGAATTTTGAGTCAATATTTTGAGTCAATATAATATTCTTTCGAATGCTGCGGTATATTAGGTTCCTCACGGGAGAAATTATTTCCACGTCACAAATTTAACTCAAACACCCTATTATTATTAACTCAAACACCTTATTAGAAGGAAGGCTAAATAAGAACAAAAGAAAAGCTCAAACACACAAAACTAATCACCTTGGATATTTAAAAAAAAAGCGAAACATATTATTCTGACATTTGAATTATTGTTTTTGATTAAATAAACACAAATGAATTCTTTATAAAATGTTAAAGTAAGTGCTCGTATTTCGCTACAAGTCTATATTGAGAATTTTCGGGTTTGTGGTAGCCTGCGTGGCAGGCCCTCAATTTTATGGGGGGCCTGATTTGCAGCGGGCAGGATTTTGGCGCGCCCGATGCAAATCAGGCCCCCCATAAAATTGAGGGCCTGCCACGCGGGCTAGGTTTGTGGAAACACCACTGTCACCACGTATATTATCATTGCAAACTGCAAAGCTTTCGGTCTTCGTCGACGTCAAGCGCCTTTTTACATAATGAAGAAACGATTTAAGAACAGGTTCAGTTTATTTTATAGAATGTAGATTGACTGCTGTTATTAAATGTAGGCTACGTGGGTCACTGAGGCAGGGCAAGGTCTGATCAGTTTATCTTTGTCTGCTAACACGTGCACATACACTAATCGTCCAAACGTAAACATACAAATCACAGTTTATTTTTAAAAACTATAAAGCTAAGCTAGTACATTTCACCCATCATTAAAACAACTAATGAAGACCAGCCAGTGAATGGATGACATCCTTTCCCCTTTCCGGTTTTGTCGTCATAGTTCTCCCAAACATATCCTGTCCTACGGTAGTTCTCAAATATATTCTTGATTATATTCTTGCGTAGATCTTCGTACAACTGCGAGCATGATTCCTTGTGGGGGCCTTCAATTTGGGAGTAGTAATGCAAGGAACGGACTGCAAGAAAGTTAAGATTAATCCAGATAGCTCCGCGCCAATATGGCGCATCGTGTTTCGTGTTGTGTTTATCGTACATTGGATCAGATTTGGACAGCGACCGTATCCCATAGTCACTCCAAAGTTCACTACGATTCCTAATGTGTTCCAATGTATCACCTAACTTACTGGAGTTCGGATGAAGTAGTTGTAGGAGGAATGGAAACAGACTTACATATCCAATGTTACCAACAAGCTTTTCTTGGGGACCCGTTTTGTACACCGCACGGGCAACCCTCTTCGGCATACCCGGTTTCGTAGCGACCTGACGTAGAGTGACGTATTTAGTGTGATTTCCATAGTCGGTAAAGCTTTTGGTTTCCTCCGACCAATGGTAGGCAGTAAGAACTGATTCGTCTTTTAAATACTCATAAGTTTCCTTGTACCGTTTAGAACGTTTACCAATTGATTCGGTAATGTCTGCCATGACTCCGGATATAAAAGCCATCCAACAGCGTAGATCGAGATGGCGTTCGTTGTCCGAGGGGTGGGAGGCCCTAGGGTAGTCATCTAGTCCGGATGTGAGTGTTTTAGGGTTCAATTCACTGTCCGTTGTCCCATCCCGTCCTCGCCATCGGTACGTAGATGGTGCCTTTCCAACTTGTGTCGTGTTAAGCCAATTGTACCAAGCTCGAAGACGAGGGAAGAGCTTGCGTATGTAGTCGCCATCCAAAAGACCTTTCTGATGCATTGCTTTGATAGGTAAGAATAATGCGGGAGGGTTTGCCTTCTTGTTGTGTTGGACTACAAATTCTGCCGGGACCTTCGTACGGGCTTCGTCACCTAGGATCTGCTCACGTGGGATCCAACCTATAACCCAATACAAATTACATGAGAGCTCGTTTGCAATGCTCTGTTGAAGACTGAAGTGTGCTAAGGAATGTGAACAGTGGGCCATTCTTACAAGTTATAATTTCCTTGCGACTGCTTTTTACACAACACTTTTCTATGTTTGAAATTGCAGCAAAATTTGCCTCGTGTGACATGGCCTTTAATTAAGGCATGCCATTGTACAACAAGATGTAAATAATACTAAAAATAAGAATAAATCGATCAGATTGCAAACATTAATATACAAATGATGGGCGAAAGAGTCAGCTTGTGTGTGAGTGCTGGGTGGCAATAACATATTGTGATAAGAAATATAAGTAATACAGGGGTGGATACAGCAAGGTTTTTCTAGGGGGGTGCTGGGCAAGCAGTCAAGTGTTTCTTTATAATTCTTTAAGGGGTGGTGGGAGAACATTCAAATGATCGAATTGGCTTCCTAACGACTCCAGCACCGAAGGTGAAGGCAAGGTGAGTCGAAGCACACAAGCTCCCTAGGGGGTCCAGGGGTATGCCCCCAGAAAATTTTGAAAATTAGAACCCTAGAAATGTCAACAGGGGTGCACACCCCTACTATAAATCCACCCCTGTAGTAATACATAGGCCTAGTAATACAATAATACCTTCAATATTCATCAAATCAAGCCAATATCCAATTACATCTGTGCTGAGGGTACTATCCCATTGACTGATCAGCAGCTGGTGGAAACCCTCATCCCACAGAAATCCTCTGGGGAAAAATGATCTGGAAGGGACTCCAGTGTACAAAGAACTCTCCCAGTAATCTACTGGCTCCTTAATGAGGTCGGAGATGACCAATGAAGAGCCATGAAAGTATCCAATGCCACCGATTGCATTGCCAAGTGTTGCTTGCGCAAACAGGATCTCATCTGTACTGTATCCCTTCTTCCGAAGCTGGAACTTTTGTTCAAATTTCTTTTCAAAGTAGTCGCTATATTTCATGAGATTCTCTTGGAAGACTGAACCTGTAAGCTGGTTTATTCTATCCTTGACGCTGCTGGATTCAAAAGCAATCTCAACCGTAAAAGGTAGTTCAAATACCCCACTAAATACGACAAAATTTTCTTCACTATTTTCGCCAACCATTTTTCTGCCAGGTAAACCAAGTAACTGCATCTTTCCCTTATTTCCTACATTAAAATGCCGCAAATTTTCCATGACAACATCCTTGGCATTGTGAACTTTATCCAAGTATGTGCTTAGATATGTGGAGAGTAGGTTCTTTTCGCCATCAACGAAAGAGATTTTAAAACTGCCCAATTCGGGAGTATTGCCTGAGACAGAAGAAAGAATTCCTTTTTTCATATCTGGTTTCAATGTTCCAAGCCCATCTTTCATGATGTAAAACATCACAGATACTCGTTGATTCTAAGTACAAAATATTAAAAAAATGTCAAAATAAAATCTTGAAGGAAATTGCTCAGTCTGCAAATATAAGAAAGCTGCACATTGATAGGAATGTAAGGCCTAAAAAAAATACCTGTGGTACCGGAATCCCGATGACCCTATTTTTTATGCCTATTATTTTTTCAATGCGATTGACCATGCAACCCTATTTTCTCCGGGTGGTTGCAGGCTGCTCATACAGCGTTCCAAAATGGCGTCTGTTGTCACACTAATTATTGAACCAAATTGCCTAAATTCGTCCATAGGAAATACGCATCTCTAGTTAATACTGATGTTGGGACTCTACTGCAAATCGTCCAGCAAAAAACTGCCAAAACCATGAAAAAAATAATAATAAAAAAAAAATTTCCGACCTATCGACCCTAATTTTTTCACGATATGAAACCGGAACCACAGGTAGTCTAGTGTCGGAGGAATAACCGCAGACACTGCAATAATTTTACTCATCAGGCATATCATTTTACTCATCAAACATAGAGTGATGGGTTAACTGAAATACCTACCAACTTTTTTTTGCTAACTCATTAAGTAAACCACAGGCACCTCATTTTATCTGATTTAATTATTAACAGGTTAAGTTCTTAAAAAACTCACATGTTTTCCCATACTTTCAACTGCTTGGCCAGTGATCCTTGTAGTCCAGTCTCCACCATGATCACCACCACTTCTCTTGACAAAATCTGTGCTCAACATGTAGCCATGATCAAGAATCTCTTCCATTCCAAAATTGACTCCATCATGCCTTATCCAGCCATACCTTGGTAATTTATCACTTTGCTCGCATGTATGTCTTATATGAATATTGCCATCATGAGACTGGCCTGAAAACCACATCAGGCCAAGCATTAGCGATTGTGGGCTGCGTGTCCGAAGGCCAAAGTACAGGTTTGAGCGGTATGAACCCCAAAACCTAAAAGGAAATGAACATGAAAGATTTTTTCTGCACTTCACTTGGGTCAAACTGAGTATTGGAGTACATGTATATCCACATGAATCGCACAGCCGAAGGTTCGAGATCTAGTGTTGCATTTTTTACAAAAAATGTGTATTTCTCACACACAGCTGGGAGCTGCTACAGCCATCCGCCCATAAAAAGTGTAAATAATATTGTCACTTGGATCACCCATCTACTCCAATATATAACATTCATTATCACACCAAAGGGGACAATTCTCAAAATTTCAACACATTTTGCACATGAATCAGGAAATGGGAAATTCAGTTACCCTGCAGTGACATTTCACCCCGAGTTAAAAGGTCTCCTATTAGAGAATTTCCTGACTCTGGTTAGAATGTTGTGTCTATTAATTAAAAGGCATTCTTGTGGCCTAGTGCAAGGTCCCAAAGCTAAATTGACACCTTTGAAGTGCAACTCAATTTGCATATTAATTAATACTTGTCAACAGGAGAGCGCTGGTTAGCGCTCAATGGGTTAATCTGCCCATATGTCTCACTATGCTTTATTATTTTACTCTAGATCTGTCTAATGCCAGACGATTTTACTTGTCAAGCGGGTCGGGGAGGTAAATCACTGGATTAATGTGGCTATCTGTCTGTATCTCTTTTCCATATTCAATTTGATCTTTTGTGTGGCAAATTGAATGTGGACCAGACTGTCAGTCGGTAACACAAGTTGTTCCAATATTGTATTATTACACCGCATTCAAAGCTATAACACAGGATCAATTTTGAGTTAAACCAATCTTTCCAATACCAACCTTCGAATATCACCCATGTCCCCAAGCTCAGATCTAGAAGTCATCCGTCGAGCTGCAATTGGTGTATACAACCGACTTTGTAAATAATGGTTCCACCATAAGTAACCAACACCAACAGAACACAAGAAAATTACGGCTAGTATTAGTATTGTCGATGTGCTAGGGAGCTTTCGTCTAAACTTGCTTTTGGTAGATGAGCTTTTTGTTGTTTTCCTGCTTGATGGCCTGCCATCTCTTGATTGTTGCCTTTTTCTAGGAGGCATATTCTTTGCAAAAATTATCACTATAGATTTAAATAAATGAAGGAAACATCTCTTCATTCAAAAACTATGAATCCACAAAAGAAAGTATAAATTTCTTCCTTCATTTCTTTGTGACTTTGTCCATGAGGTTCCAAGAGGCTTGAACGGCTGAGCTGACGTTGCAGTTGCCCAGCACGCCGAAGATGGCCGAAGATTACCGGAAAAGTTCGGAAATTGCCGCCAAACGAAATTGCCTAACTATTTTCTCAAAATATTTGAATGTTTCTTTGGAATAGCGCTTATTTTTTCAATAAACAAATATTGAGAGTATACACTACAAAAAAACTTACCCAACTTTATGAGTTCTTTGTTTACAAGTTCTGTTTCGGTTGGAAATGATTAAATGAATGAATAATCCTTGTGCAATCGCACTATCTTCGGAAACGTTCGGAATTTGACCAGGTTGCCGTCTGAAAGTCTTTAACAATGTTGAAACTTGTTTGAAAAGGAGAATTACGCCACTGAAACTTCTGTCTGAAACCAATTTCTCTATTTAAAACGCCGTATAAAGCTGTTTTTTCCTAAAAATCTTTATAAAATAGACAATACTGTATGGACCAAAGTGCCAAAAGTAAACAATGAAATGAATGGTGTTTCCACTGTGACAAAATTTCGACACTTGCTTTCCTCAATTTTCAAAACTTGCAAAAATACGGGGACCCTGGGTACGAGGTTGCAGTGCAACAATGATTGACGGTGTAGATTTATTTAGATTTCACTTAGGCCTTCATCTTTTCCAGTCGATTCATCGTCCTGGCTAGAAATACTTTAAATTTCAACCTTCGACAAGCAAAATACATGTTATTAATATAGATTTTATACTTAAAATGAATTTTTTTGTACACAAATTTGAAATTTCTAAGCCGTCTCGCACATGTCTCGAACTCGCGGGACCAGTGCGAAATTTTCCCGCGTCTTGATTGGATGATGCCTACGCATGCGCTACGTTTACCCGAGTATCAAGTTATCGCGCATGCGTTTGTTTCAATGGTTTCGTAAACACCGAGCCAAAGCGTCCCACATGCACCACACCAGGCAACTGTAACGTACTTCTATACCGAAATGTTACTATTACTTGTGTGTGGTAGTTACCGATCATAAGATCTTACGAAAAGGGTGCCAGGCATAATGGTCTGGGGGCCGCCGGCACCCTCCCCCGCAGTTCGTTCGATACCAGTTGGTAAGCCACCTATTCACCGCCTCTGACGATAGCGTTGAGTTTAGCCGAAATCTAGCTTAAACGTTAACATACGGCGTTCTAGCGGCTAGCACGACACGGACTTGACCGATACGGGCTAGCAGAGTCGGGAAGTATGGACTGATGGGGCAGTTTCTTTTTAAAAAAACATTTCTAATTTACCATTCGACATAAAAACAATTCTTCTAATTTAACGATCAACTCACAATTGCGACTAAAAAAGTTAGCAGTGTGTTTTTTGCTTTTTATCTAACTTACAAAAATCTAAAAATGTATCTTTACTGAGGGTGGGGAAGGGTATTTTCGTGAGCCGTGAATGGTGAATATTTGTTCGCGTGAAATATGAAATGCTTGATTTTAGTGTTGAGAAATGTGATGTGTTCTACAACCGTGAGGCGTGATTGTTGATAAAAATGCCCCGTGAAATGAGAATTAAAGATGCCTGTTTCGTGAACTGTGATTATTATAGAGATTATTATAGCAAACATAATACGCGATAATCAAATTTATATGATCTCACTCGATTGCACAAGAGTAAAAACTTCGGAAGCCTTTCGCGAGGTTCCTGACGCTGAGGACAAGGTTCCTGACGCTGAGAACAAGGTTCCTGACGCTGAGGACAAGGTTCTTGCCGGTGAGGACAAGGTTCCTGACGCTGAGAACAAGGTTCCTGCCGGTGAGGACAAGGTTCCTGCCGGTGAGGACAAGGTTCTTGCCGGTGAGGACAAGGTTCCTGGCGGTGAGGACAAGGTTCCTGGCAGTGAGGACAAGGTTCCTGCCTGTGAGGACAAGGTTCCTGCCTGTTAGGACAAGGTTCCTACCGGTGAGGACAAGGTTCCTGGCGGCGAGGACAAGGTTCTTGGCGGTGAGTACAAGGTTCCTGGCGGTGAGGACAATGTTCCTGCCGGTGAGGACAAGGTTCCTGCCGGTGAGGAAAAGGTTCCTGCCGGTGAGGACAAGGTTCCTGCCTGTGAGGACAAGGTTCCTGCCTGTTAGGACAAGGTTTCTGCCGGTGAGGACAAGGTTCCTGCCGGTGAGGACTAGGTTCCTGCCTGTTAGGACAAGGTTTCTACCGGTGAGGATAAGGTTTCTGCCGGTGAGGACAAGGTTCCTGGCGGTGAGGACAAGGTTCCTGCCTGTTAGGACAAGGTTTCTACCGGTGAGGACAAGGTTCCTGGCGGTGAAGACAAGGTTCCTGGCGGTGAGGACAAGGTTCCTGGCGGTGAGGACAAGGTTCCTGGCAGTGAGGACAAGGTTCCTGCCTGTGAGGACAAGGTTCCTACCCATGAGGACAAGGATCCTGGCGGTGAGGACAAGGTTCCTGGCGGCGGAGGGACAAGGTTCTTGGCGGTGGAGGACACCCTGGCGGTGAGGACAAGGTTCCTGCCTGTTAGGTCAAGGTTCCCACTGGTGGAGGACAAGGTTCTGGCGGTGAGGGACACCCTGGCGGTGAGGGACAAGGTTCCTGGTGGTGAGGGACAAGGTTCTATGGTGGACAAGGTTCCTGGCGGTGAGGACAAGGTTCCTGGCGGTGAGGACAAGGTTCCTGGCGGTGAGGACAAGGTTCCTGGGGGTGAGGACAAGGTTCTTGGCGGTGAGGACAAGGTCCCTGGCGGTGAGGAGAATGTTGGTGGCGTTGGGGACAAGGTCCTGGCGCTGAGGACACGCACTCAAACTTGCAAGTTATGATGTAGTTTTTAACTGACAGGTAAAGAAATGAAACCAAGCTTACCAAGCTTATCAAGCTTGGAAGAGTTTGGGTAATTGTCGAGCTACCTCGTCCCCAGGCGCTATAAAATAATGTGGCCCACAAGTGTCACAACGAAAGTAACTGAGCCACGGCAAGTTAAATTTAAGACCAATTAACTGCAACGGCAACTGACAAAAATAAACTCACGGGAAAATAAAGTTAACTCACGGCCAATCTCTTTCCTACGGTGGCCCACAAGGGACACGACGTCACAACTTTAAAAGCACGCATTATCTTCATAGAAATAGCCCTGCTCCCCATAGAAGTTAGCCTGCTCCGTAGAAGTTAGCCCTGCTCCGTAGAAGTATAGCCCTGCTCCGCAGAACTATAGCCCACTGACTATAGCCTGCACCGTAGAAGTAGCCCTCCATGACCCGCGAACAGGCATTTGACGTTATTTCAAAATTTCCTTCCCTTGCTTACCCCTAGCCTCCTTGGCAGGCATCTCACCCAACGAATCGGGTGGTGGGAATTTTATTTTCAAGCCCATTCGCAGGCTAGAACCCATAGAGAGGCCTGCGGAGGAGGCTAGCTTACCCCTCTTTGTAGTAAAATATCCACAATCTCTGTGCTTAGAAACATGGCGGTCGGTTGACAGCAAATAAACAAATATAAATACTCAAGTTTTCTGAATGAAATGTCCGACTCCGAGGATGAAGCAACGACTGAACACCAATTAAAGTTTGTTTTAGTTGGAGATGGCACGGCAGGAAAGGTAGAAATGTTGTTAATACGCATTTGAAATTTTTGCCCTGATTTTCAATTTTTAATGTTTCATTTTTATATGGCTGCAAATACTGTCACTATAAAACGTTATATAAATTGTTTTGTCGTCAATACATTATCATTTTTAAATATTTTGTGTACTGACATTAATAGTTTTTATAAAATCATTCTGCTTTCATATTAAAGATACACATCACTGAATTTAAAGGATGTCCGACATAAACAATATTACACTATATGACTATAAAACAAAACTCTAAACAGTCTTGTAGTACTCTAGTATTGATATGAGTAATAAACATATAAGGTAGTATTTCAAAATCCCTGGTGACTATTTGACTGGCTGCAGGTCACATTTCAAAATGTACTCAATGACCATCAGTCTGGCATTTGCAATTTTGCATTTAACATTAAATTTTAAAAATAAGCCGATACAAATCTGTCCTAACCCCTAAAGCTCAGAGCGAGTTACAACTACCTGGAAAAAATATAAATAAACAAGTTTCAAGTGAAATTGCTACGGCAAATAAACAATATCCCAAAGCAGTCTTGAACTCGAGACCTGAGACACAGCAGCTGGATGCCTAACCTGCTGAGCTGAGGTCAAGCTTGCTGAAACTCTTCACAAAACCACATTTCATGTCACTCATCAGGGTTTTCCCCAGATTTTTTGCTGGATCTGTTGTTCAGGCATGGATTTTCTGGGGGGGGGGGTGGGGGGGCGAAATGATTTGCACCAGAGGCATTTGGCACCACCCCAAAAAGTTTTTGCACCCCTGCAAATTATATATATATTTTGATTTGATAGTTTCATATTTGATTATTCTTACTACTAAATTTGTAAAATTACCAATATTATTGTCTCAGATCTTGTCATGCAGGCCTAGAAAACAAATTTTGTTAAACTTTTCCTTGGCCTTTCTGGGCGTTGCCACCACCCCTGGCCAAAGCAAGCAGCAGAACCCCCCAGATATTTATCCACCCTCCCCGAACAAAAATATGAAAATCTGTTTTTGCTGTTGTTGCAGAGAAGATTGAGTTTACCTAAACAGCTGGGGTCTGGGATGGCTGTCCCCCGGGATGGTGTGAAACCCAAAGGAAGAGGTGAAGGTCCAGGAAGCTTTACAAATATAGCCTTTAAACTCCTATGTTATAGTGACTATCAATCATTTAGTATTTCATGAAACGTGACAGGCTGAAAGCTCATTTTGTAATTCCTGGAATGGGTGCTGACTGTATTTAAATTAATATTTATTTTTAGACATCAATAGCAGTTAGATACACTTCAGAAAACTTTGAGCAAACATATAAACAGACAATAGGACTGGATTTCTTTTTAAAAAGGATTGTTTTAACAGGTGGGATTTTTCACTTTGGCGACAGAGCCTCGTTTTTGTGACATTATTTATCTGGTATAAAAAATGAAGACTAGTTCTAATTTTTCAAGTTAACATTCTTTGTGGTAGGCAATATAAATGTCTCCATACAGCTATGGGATATTGGTGGACAGACTATTGGTGGCAAAATGATCGAGACTTACCTCTCAGGAGCACAGGTGATTAATTAAGACCAGTTCACATGTCTCATCTGCATTACAGAATTAGTTTCACACTCCAGTTTTGCCCTAATTCTAAAGACTGTTACGACTTGAGATTTCCCTCCTGACAGTGTTAATGTGACACCTAAGTTATACATTTGCCCTAGCAAAATCCATTTAGGGGAGAGGTCAGTGGCAGGGCGCAAAGCGCTGCTGAACAAAGCTGCAACAGGTGTCTTTTTTCTTGCGTACAAATCCGTCCAGGGTTTAGATAATACTGTGTGCACCAAATTTACAGTTATCAGATGTAAATCTTTGACTGTATCTTTGTTCACAGGCTGTGCTGTTTGTTTATGACATAACAAATCAAAGTACATTTGATAACCTGGAAGACTGGTGGGAAACGGTCAAAAGTAGTTTAAAAGGGAAAGATTCCAGTTCAACGCCGTGTTTTGCACTCGTTGCAAACAAAGGTTTGTAAAATGAACTCTGTGGTTAGAGACAATGAATCTATGACTTGCATGTACAACATTTAGTAAGCTTATATGCTATCGCAGACAGTATCCTCATCTTCATGGATTTTCATTGACTAAATGGAACTTCAATATAGGTGACCTAGAACACATGCGTGTTGTCAAGCAAGAAAGACATGCAAAGTTTGCACAGGATCACGGAATGACCAGGTAAGTTGCGATGTGAAATAAAGTACAATGTTGAAGTGTTCTACCAGATATGTTGGACTACCGCAGTACCAAATCCAAGCCCAGTTCAAACTAGTATATGGTTGTCTCAAGCTTGTCTCCCCAGGGAACTTTTCGTTCTTAGTTTATGTCTTATTCTTTAATTTGCAGCCATTGTTTGTCAGCGAAATCTGGAGATCAGGTATTAAATACAAGCTATATTCTACGTAAACTGCACGGTCAAATGTTTTAAATGTTTAGTATAAAGATACATGATTAAAAAATTTGTAGGTGAGACTTTGTTTTCAAAAAGTTGCCGCAGATGTTTTGGGAATCAGGTTGACAAAAAGCGAAATGGACAAAACAACTGTATCCTTTCATGAATCGAAAATGTTTTGCAGGATTGACTATTGAGCTTACTCAGAGAAGTGCCTGGGAGAAGATACTGGGGTTCGCGCTACTAAGCCCGTATAAAATATGATTCCTTGATTCTCATCCCATAAGAGCCTTGTGAATATTTTTTATAATATGTACAAAAAAATATATAAATGCACCGCTCGACAAAATATTTCAAGACAGTTAAGCTTTCTATATTTTATGTTGGGTTAGTTACTAGCCTTCGCCTTGTTTTAAATCTTTTTAAGGTAGTTGATACACAACTGCTTCCCTTGGCCGACATGTGAGATATTAATTGGCCTGAGCTTTGCTATTGAAATCCTTAACAATATTCCAGCAAGTACTAAAAGCTGGTGTCGTTCAATATGCGAACAACGAGATTCCAGCAAGACCTGCGACGCAACAAAAGAGTTCGTTTTGCACCTTACAGTAACTGTACAATAAAGTAGATCGTATTTATATCAAAATATTTGTGAAAAGAACGGAGCAACATTCTTAAAAGGATCAGTGTCGAGATTATTCATTCCGCGCTTGTGTTAATGGGCCGGATTTAGGACCTCTGGTTTACCCAGGGACAGAGCATTATAAAAATGATCGTGGGGCTGGGAAATTAAATGAAAAAAATGCATACAGCCAATGGTGGCAGTAAAAAATACATCACAACACGAAAAAGTGCACACCAAGCAAACAGTAATAATCCATACATGGCACAAACTCCCCCCCCACACCCAATTTTCTAATGGTCCGTCCCACGAACTATCGTCATAACAACAGCTACTAGTTGTCCATAATAGAGGTTTAGTGACACATGCCAAGGCACTTTTCGACAGGATAACCAAACTAATACCCAAAATAATTCAATGTAAATTATCTTAAAATCTAAATTAATAAATTCTATAAAATTTTATGTTGTCCATTTGTTCAGATCATGTCTTATAGCGTAGTAAAAACCCAAATGTACAAAAGACTAAAGCCTTGAGAAAACTATAGAAAATGTTGCGGAAATATTTGGAAATTTCCATGAACGTTTCGCGTTCGCGCACCCTTGAAAACACTGTTGCACGAGTAAACAAAATTTGCTTCTAGGAAGCAACAATGTTGCCAATAAATCTGGAATAATTTTGTTTCGCAAATGCGAATTCAAAAACGTTGACTTTCAATTTGTATGCATGGACATGAATGAGAAATTTACTTACCAGCTGGAGTACCTAAGTCACTCAACCAGGGATGGATCCAGCATGGTCTGGTAGGGGGGGGGGGGGTGCTCCGCCAAAAAATTTTTCGGAAAGCAACAATCTCCCCCCACCCCCATCGGCAACTTTTTAGGGAAAATTTTTTTCCGGACGAGTACGTTGCAATTGCTTTCCAATGACTTTACACATCCATCAACTTGCTTAACCACTGCAAAGTCTAGCTACAGTATTTGAATTGTAATTGTTGTTCACAGTTCGCTTATCATCATGTTATTACTCAAATTACTGAATCTCATTTTGTCTCTGATAATTTTTTGCTTTATCATGAAAAATAGCACCCCCCTGCACCCCTCCTGGCCAGGGCTAGGGGGTGTGTGCACCCCCCCACCCCCCAGTAAATCCATCCCTGCACTCGACATGCGCACTTTCCGACAATTTGTTTGCCAGTTCGCCCTATGCCCAAAGGCCATTTTGCTGCAACTTGTTAACTTAGCAGGATGGGAAACGTGGCTACGAAACAATATTTCCGCAACATTATGCATTCCCTATTTTTCAAGATGTGGACATGCAATGTTTGCGCGGAGTTGTACTTCTTAACTGTTTTCGCTTGGCGAGTAACATCTCGTTGGTTTGACTGTACGCTTTGATCTCTTAGATAGCTTAATATCTGAGTCCGTGCTCTCACTTGTTCGTCTTGCTGCGCGTTTCTCTGCTTTCTCGTTCCGTCTTTCCTCTTTGGATCTCGAGGTTCTTACTTCGTGGGTTTTCTCTTGGGAATATCGCGTACGTCGCAACTTTCTTGACGAATCACCGCCTTCCTCGCCCTTCTGTATATTCCCTTGGCTGTGGTCATCTTTCTCATCCGGCCTAGTTTGGTCTTTCGAAGCGACTCTTGCAGAGCGGCGCTGTGGCTGTGCTTCTTTTTGTTCCTCGGTAGGTGTCGTGGTGTCATTAGAGCTCTCGCTTTCTTGTTCATTTGAGAACCGACGAGAACGCCTTCGTTTCCCTGAACAAAAATAAAATATAAATATTCAAATAATAGCGAGGATATGATTTCCACTACTAACCAGTACTGATACATTTAACCAATCAAATGCGTTCAATCTACCCGTCAGCCAATCAAATGCGTTTATCTGCCCAATTAACCAATCAAATGTGTACTAGTGGAAGACAAATCTGAACCTCTCCAATGTGCATGAATGTCACATAACAGGAAACAATCGAAAAGGTTAATATTTGCGGGTAGTATTCTACAATAAGCAACAATAAGCTGTTGTGGATTGGGTCCAAACTTCACTGACTGAACTATCTGAAAAACGTTCCGAGGTTGCTAGCAGCCAACCTTTCGATCAGAGGGCTTTCCCTCCGGTGTCGAAGTGTTTCTAACCTTGTTTCAGGTTTTGAGCTGGCTCAAATTTTGATAAGAGTTGACGAGAGCTTTTGCTTCGCGCGGTAAATATCCGGTCAACTCTCATGTGAACTTTCCCTTGCCTACTCTCTTCAACTGTCACCCTCGTTTGGCCAAGACTTTAAATATATGACATCGGGAGTCATGACTCAACTCCTCATCACCGTTTAAAAGCGCTAATTGAAACTCACCTATACAACTATTACAACAGAATAAACTTACCCATACAATAGGCCTTACCTAATTTGATACTTCCGATATCATAATCTTCCATAGTGGTTTCATTATCAGCATCTGATGCGTCATCCGTAGCCTGCGCATAGGCTGGTTCGTTATGCTGTGAATCTTCAGGCTCTGGAAAAACTTGTGGTTCCGCTGGATCAATAGGTTTGAATAAGGCAGGATCGCTCATTGGTGACTGCAAATTGGTTTGCTCTTCACCTTTTGAGCAGAGTTTGTCTTCATCCTCTTGGCAAGCTGGCAGAGGACTGTCTGTGGAATCTGAAGGTTTTTCCTCAGTCGTCTGTGGAGAGTCAGTTGTAGTCAAATCTTGAGCAAGAGCTGATGTGGTGTTTTCTGCAAGCTCAACATTGCTATCAACTTCCTTATCGGTAGCTACACCAGATTCATCAGTTCTCGTATCTTTGCTATCATTTTTTTCACTGACAACTTCACTAGATTCATCATCACTATCCTTACTGACAGTTGTTACAGATTCACCAGCTTTATTCTCTTTACTCATCCCCTCGGTTTTCTCATTGGTTTCTGCGCCAGATTCACCAAATTTTTCATCTTTCGCTTTGATGTCAATTTTCTTACTGCTATCTACACCAGATTGTTTGTCTCCGCTTTCCTCCTTGATATCAGATTGATCACTACTCTTACTGGTGGTCACACTACATCCATCATCACTTTTCATACTGGTATCTGCACTAGATTTTTTCTCATTAATATCACTTGTCTTAGCGGTATCTCCAACAGATACACTAGAATACTTTCCTTCACTTTTCTCTTTAGTATCAACTTTTTCACTAGTACCTGCACCAGATTCACCACCAACGTTAGTACTAGTACCTGCACCAGATTCAGCAGATTTCCTCCCATCGGTTTTCTCCTTCATATCAACTTTCACCGTACCTGCACCAGATTCTTCACTTTCCTTACTGGTAGTTGCACCAGATTCTTTGTCCTTGCTTTTCTTCAGTACAAGTTCTTGGTAATCCTCGTATTCCATATCGCTCATGCTATCTTCTAATGACGAAAGATCGCTGGTATGAACTGAACTTACAGTAATATCAGAGTCAGACTCCACAATATCGTCTTCGGATAATTCCGGCTTGCTTTTCTCAGGCTCATTTCCCGGAATGTCGGCTGATGGAATTCCTAGGTCTTCGTCAGTTACTTTATCTTTTGAAAAAATGTTCGGCATTGAAATTGGTTTCTTTGTAGATGATTTCATGGATTCTTCTGAACTGAGTTTATTCTGTTGCTTCTCTGTTTTTTTCTTGGCTTTCTCTTCCGGTCTCTTACCCACTTTCGACTTGCCAACTTCCGGTTTAACTATTCTCAGTTTATTTACTTCCGGTTTCGATACCTTGTCCACTTTCGGCTTGCCAGTTTCCACTTTGGAAACGTCCGCTTTAACAACGCTTGACTTATCTACTTCTGGTTTTCTTGTCTTGTCCACCTTCGGTATGCTGACTTCCGGTTTCGCAAGTTCTGGTTTAACTATTTCCGGTTTTACTTCTCCCGACTTGACAACTTCAAATTTAGCTTCTTCGTGTTTTATCAGATTCGCTTCCGGTTTATCTGGATTAGTAGCTTCTGGATTATAAACTTTGGGTTTATATATCTTCGCTTCCTTCATTTCTGCTGTAGTGTTTTCTACAATATTTGCGTCCTTCGTCTCTGCTTTGCTTTCTTTCAGTTCACTGCCGGGTTTAACTGCTTGCAAATCTATTTCGAGAGTACTCCCTTTTGGGATATCACGCTGTTCTGTAAATGATGTCTGTACGATTGTTGCAACCGCACTTTGAGCTTTTTCCACAGCTGGTTTGCAATCATCTGACCTTTCAATTTCCGGTATGTTTTCATCTATTTTTCCTTGAATCTCAGATGTATTTTGGGTAGAACTAGAAAGTTCGTCATCAATGTCCATAGCTTCATTTTTATTTTGCAGGCCACCATCGAGAGTTGCTGATGCGCTTGCTGGATTAGACTCGGTAATTATCTCAGGTTTCTGAGATATTTGGCCGGTCTCAGCACTTGCGCTTTTCTCAGACATATAAAGCGCAAGCATCTGTTGACCTTTGCTTACGTCTGTCTGCGAAATCTCGTCAGCATTTTGAGCGTTGGAAACCTTTGACTCATCTGCTTGGAGGTTCTTTAGGGTTTCATCTTTCAAAGCAGACTCTTCCGACGCGGACATTTCTACGCTAGGCTTTCCCGTACTTAACTCCGGTGTCGAATTTACAATCGCTTCAACATTTGTACCCAAAACCTGAGATGTTTGCGCACCGTCATTATCGTCAATAGTACTGATTAGTGTTTCCACTTCGATGACCTCACCACTCGTTCCGGGGGGAGGAGTATCCACAAATGAACCTCTGTCAGATTCTTGAGATTTCTCATCAGCACTCGCTTCCAAAAGTTTGTTTGTCTCTTCCTTGATAATATCCTCGACTTCCTTATCGCTTAACTTGGTGAGTTCGGATCTTGGTTGTGCGTCTGACCTTTGCGGTCTGTCTCGTTCATACCGAGTGTAGTGCCCCGTACCAATGAGATGCTCTTCAACGAGGTTTTCGATTTCCTTGTAAAAACTGCTACTTTTCTCAACCAGTACTTGTTCGAGAAGACGGTCGACACCTTTCGATAAAACCTCCGACCTTACCAAGAAATGAGAATCTAATTTTAGGTTACATATTTTAGTCTTCGAATTTAATAGAAAAGGAAAAGCACGGGGCCAGCAGGTTGCCTTTTTTACTCATATGAATTGAAATATATTGAGAACTGTTTTCAAGAAATTTAGCAAAAATTTGAATCTGAAATTCCTCTCAGAAACGTTACCAAGGTTTTCACGTTTATGAAAAAAAAGTCAAAATGAAAGCCTTCCTACATAATTGACAAGTTGTCATGTAGTTTTACAGTGCATTTTCGTCTTTTACTAGCGTCATGCAACGAATAAAATTGTTCCAATCAATGCCGAAATTTATCAACTGTATAAATATGGGCTACAAGCAATCAAGTAACTGTACAGCAAAATTTTAACCAACATTACCGCCCAGGCTCAAAAGTACGTGTGCTTTTTGAATGACTGTCAGCCTGCCCCTGCCACTTCACGTTGCTTCCGGGCCGTTCCGGTGTCCCAGGATTTTCGCCCCCCCTACATTTTCGCCCCCCGGGGGCGAAATTCCTAGGAATATCGCCCCCCCCAGGGGGGCGAAAATCCTAGGAATTTCGCCCCCCTTTAGGAAATTCGCCCCCCTTTAGAAACTTCACCTTTTCTTTAGGACTGTCGTCCTCCGTTCAAAATTTCGCCCTTCCTAACAGTTGCATGGGATAACTATTACATGGCTTTAATCATTTGAAATCAGTATCAATTCAAAATTGTTAAGACAGAGCTTGAAATAACAACCGATCACCGATCAATGATCGGCAAGGAATTGCTTATGATCGGCGGAAAAGCAGAGTTTCGGTTTCCAACCTGAAAAAAAGCAGGGAAAGTCGCGACTGCCGATCACCATGGTCGGGAACTTTGGGAACGTTATTTCAAGCCCTGCATGTAAGAATACAAATTTACAATTACATGTATCGAAAGGGCTTTACACAGTTACAGTAGATCAATAGGACTTATGACGCTTCACAGCACACCATGCATATTTTGCATTTTCAGTGTTAATCCTTAAACTCATTGTTAAAAAGTAATCACCGTGGTGGTTATTGTAATTATTGGTATTGTTTTGCATCCACGTTTTGTCGTTATCGGAAAATGTATGGTTTGTCACTATTTTTTACTTGCATTATTTCAATATAGTTTATAAATCTCAGAAGCGAAGGGTAGAACTTGCCAATAGGCAATAATCCAATAATATACGTTTCAAAAAAGACAAGAAAGCTTTTAGTTTTGCAGAGTTACATTCTCAAATGTTTAAGGCATGCACTAATAAAATCAAAGTATCATGAAATTATTTGAATAAACCACACCACATATATAATGCCATTTTCTTTGCGGAAGTGAAGAATTAAGATTATATCACTGACACGGAAAGTTGACGATTCAACGGAAAATAGTCAATACGCTTCCCAACACATTCCATGGATTTTTTACTAATCCTATAGTTTATTGTTAGCAAGTGATTACTGTGGCGGCTATTGTTAACACTCGTATTGATAAAATTTGCAAGCGATTGTTTTTATAATATGTTATGTGAATGTAAACTGCCAGAAGAATACGACAACATGATTTTATGCGATCTCTGTGATGGTTCCACTTTAGATGTGTAGAATATGACACTAGTCTAAGTACCTCAAATGAGTGGTTATGCAGACTGTGTACACCACCAGCTGCTAAGAAGCCTAAAATGTGTATGTAATTTTGTCTCCTTGTAATAAATAAATAAATCACACAATAAATCTTTTCAACTTGCAATCGTTTTGTTTTTAGATCAAAAATTCAAAATTTATATGGGGGGGCGAAATTCCTAAAGGGGGGCGATATTCCTAGGAGATTCGCCCCGGGGGGGCGAATATCCTAGGAATATCGCCCCCCTTTTGAGAGGGGGGGCGAATCTCCTGGGGGGGCGAATCTCCTGTGACACCGGCGCTCCTGCTAACGGGAGCCTGCAACTATGCTGCAACGCAGGCTACTTCATTACAGGTTTGACAAACAACACAACGTTTACTATCTTACTGATTTATGTTGGCTCTAAGGCTTGTACGAAGCTGGTTCTTTGGTAAATTTGCACTGAATGTTTGCTTGGATAAGAATGTTGCCACGTGACTTTCCACTCGCTGCTTTAGTTGTCGATAAGGTTCCTATAAAAACATATTAAACGATAGGGCTTTAGGGATAGCGTGTCAGTTCGTTGCGCTCACTGATCTGAAAAGAACTCCAGAGGAATGGCCTTCGCTCGAAACGTCGAAATTCTCCTTATATTTTTCAGGTAGTTGCATCCCTAGGTATAGTTGCATGCCAACGAAAGCTTGTTAATATTATTGGCGCTACCTGAACAGGCACAGACAGTTCAAAACTGGATAGAGCATTCTCTTGAACTCAATGAGCCAATTTTGAAGCCAGAACAACATGGCCCACGTTCAACATTTATAATGAGATGAAATTTTTAAATCTGTCAAATTGTTGAACCTGTCTATATAGGTCATTATAAATCATGTAAATAATGGATTATCTTCTTTTTAGCTTACCAACAATGTAATAACTCTAATTAGTATAATTACATAGGTGATTATTGAAAATACACTAGATAGTGCATCTAATTATTCTGCAATTCAAAAATTGAAGCCGTGATTGCAGATTCAGGATATTCCCATGAAATGAGAAGACTCGTAAATCATGAAAGTTATTGTTGTTTTTTAAGCGTTTATTAGCAAGTGGGAAACTCCAACATGGCCGCCATCTATTCAAATGGGGGTAACCGCTGGAATATTCTTGGCTTCAATTTTACTAAAAGAGATGCGCTATCTAGTGTAGATAGGATATCTATGCTCTGGTGCGATTTGTACAATAAACAGGGTTTTCAATTAAAATAGACCCTTGTCATGCTTTTCAATAGAGCCGGGATATATTGGTATCACAGTCACACAGTGTCCATAAGTACCCAGAAATGCAAAGAGCAGGCCCGGTCAAACTTAGTAAGGATTGAAAAAATTTTGTTTATTTGTTTATTGATTTTATTAAAAAATTCAGCAATTGAATGTATTAGGTATACCATAAACAGAATTCAAAAATTGTACTGAGAAAGTCACACACCCAAATATTTTTCGCCTTGATCGAGGGTCGCAGGTCCTGGCTAAGGTCAAATGTAACAAGTACACTCAAAACTTCCATCAGCAACAATATAAAGCATCGAGATCTTCCTGTAATCTATCTTAATCAACACTGTGCCAAACAAAGAGAACTCGAGAGCACTTCAAGTCGTCATGAAATCAGGGTAATTAGTGTGACTCTGAGAGATTGCATCCGGCAAGTCATTGGCGAGCTTAATGCATAAAAAACAGCCGCTAATAATTGGAGACTAGTGTTGCATTGTTTTTCGCATGTCCCTGGCTTTGTTTACCAACAACCATCCATATTTTTTACCCGTAAGGCGAAACTGTGATATTTTTTAGCGGCGGTTTTCGTCACGTCTGTGATTCTCGACTAAGAATTAAGGACGTCATTCGTCATGCATTATTAGTTGCGGGGGATATTTCAAACGGCTACTACTAAAAAGCGATACAACGATACAGCGATACAGGAACCGGAACCTGGAACCGGAACCCGGAACCGTGCATAATTTATGCAAATTGCACCACAGGAGATATACATAATAATAATTTACAGGGGGGAGGGCGCAATTCAATGATAATATACAATATTATTGTAGCACTAAATATTACGAAGTAAAACATGTTTCATAATTGCGCGGCGATTCTTTTTGTCTGTTTTGATATGACTGCATATGACGCACTTAGTTTATTTAGCCGCCGCACTTGATTATGAAATCCCAGCAGACAGAGACGGAAACCACGGCACGCAAAGTAGATTGCGCTGAATTCACTAGCAATTGTGCCCTAAAATAATTCGAGTGTAGTGTAGTGTAGTGTAGTGTAGTGTAGTGTAGTGTAGTGTAGTGTAGTGTAGTGTAGTGTAGTGTAGTGTAGTGTAGTGTAGTGTAGTGTAGTGTAGTGTAGTGTAGTGTAGTGTAGAGTAGTGTAGTGTGGTGTAGTGTAGTGTAGTGTAGTGTACTGTAGTGTAGTGTAGTGTAGTCAAACCCCGCTGAGGCGCAACGCATTCAAACTTTATACCGTCATTCGAGGAAAAAAGTGGCAAGGAAGATCCTTTCGCCAAACTGTCCCCCCTATTCAGGATCAATTGAAAATGCTGAATCGTTTTTCAAGGACACTTTTTCCCTTCGTAATTGTGACATAACGTCTCTTCAAGATAAGCTAGATGATCTCACCACTCCAGCTGCAATTGATGACGCGTTATTTACAACTCCAACAAACAAGGAAATTCGACGGAAACTTGTCTCTGCTGCCAATACCTCTCCGGGTCCTGATCGCGTTGAATATCGTCATCTAAAGCGAGTTGACCCATCGTGCTCTATCCTTTCTCTCCTGTTCAGCCATTGTTTTAAGAAACGCGACGTTCCACCAGCCTGGAAATCGGCGATTACAGTGCTAATTTACAAGAAAGGTTCCACAGACGACCCTTCTAACTTCCGACCTATTGCTCTGATGTCATGTCTCTACAAGTTAG